CAGCTTGAAGCCAGACTTCCTGCTTTTCAGACCAATGCCTTAACCACTAGGCCAACCCGGCGACCACGGCTAAATAAACCCCCATGGGATACATACATAATAGTATGTATGTTATCAAAATATTCACCCTTAAACATTCATCATATTTTCAGCAAAAACATACAAGAAAACTGTAGAGCTAATTAATCTTCATCCATACACATTTGTCTTATGCTCCCCATGAGCTTGCCCGGAGATAAAATCTCACGGCCATATTATTTTTTCAAAACATGAAATAACCAAAGAATGTAACAAATAGCAAGGAATAAAGTATACAAGCATGTAGTTAACACTTTTAGTTGTTTAGAAATACAAGAAAACAAAACACTCCATTCAAATTTTAGAGAGAAATAGAGTGAAATAAGCATGAGCAGACGGATTTTTCAAAAATGGAGAGAATGTGATATATTAGCAGGAAACATTACAGGTTGATTGTAAATGGGGTTTCTTCCACCTAACTGTTTCTAAGCATTGCCTAAATACATGTGATTTATTAATGATATGTTAGTTCATAAAGGGAAAGAATAAGAGGGAGAGGGTTGGTTAAGACAGACCAAGGGACAGGATCTGAATAGACCAGATTCAGATTAAATTCACTTATTGAACTATTCCAGTGAAACATGATAATTAATACGAAAAGAACATAAATATATAAAAAATTGAAAGCAAAAAAGTAATTCCAGACTTTCAAAGGGATTGAGGTATAAAAACCATAAATAAACTCCAAAGTGGTATCTGGAGGTTTATATATTTGTATGAATTGCTAGTGAACATGAGAGATTCTACTTCACATGTTTTATACTACTTCATTCATATAACAATGGGATTTCTATATTTAACTGCTTTCCAAAATGCTATATTCTACTGCATGACATCGCCTTTAGACCTGCATCCCATTGACTCTGACAGTTGACTTCAAAGTATTGAATCCAATAAGAATTTTAATGAATAAGAAGGGATATATACAGAGACATAATAGAGTGTTAGAGAAAGATGTTTGCACTGATCTTGTTGATCGTGTTGATGTTTTTCTCAAGAAATCCAAAGATGCAGAAATGCCCTAATTCATGGGAATTGTTGAAACCATATAACATTTTTCAAAACTTACTATCAATTCATACCTTTAAATTTCTTTAATGACGTATAAATAGATTAAACTACAAAGAATTCTCAATGAATTCTATATTCATTGAAATAGATAATTAAAGAACTTCTTTCAAATATGCCAACAACAACTATTAATTCTTCTAGTACATTTTGAACCAAGTTGTGGTCTGTAACCAAAGGGGGGGGGGGTGTTAGCTAGAATCACCAAACCCCCCCCCCCAAAAAAAAATGCAAGTGATTTTGGTCCAAAATTGTCAATTGTGAACCAGACCCTGGAATATGTTAAACAACATCTGAATATGGGTTTCTTATATTTGTTTAGATTACAGTGGAATGATATACCTGTTTCTTAACAAAGAGGGGCACACCCATTACACAATATAATCATATCAATGAAGATAACAAGTGAATATTATAAATATTGCATCAAACATACAGAAAACATTAAATAATCTATTAGATACTCAATATTGAGCTGAACCGACATAATGTGAATAATTAAAGAACTCAAGGGAACCAACCCTTAATATGTGTTATTCAAAGATGATGCTTTGAAATGAGAATATAAAGAAGAAGAAGCAAGGAATATTTTAGTAAGCATGGGATATTTAACATTTATCAGTTTTGGTGAGAATAAGAATGCAAGAAAGAATTTATGCCATATAATATATAGAGTAAACAGAGGGATTATAAGCTCATTATGACAAGTAAGAATGTTCTATTATTACAATAATGAGGATCATTCTACTCTAATTAAGAACAATTAATTTCCCCCACTCAGTTCCTACAATGCACAAACCCATGTTCCTTATCGATTCTTTAAGTTCAGATGCCAGTTCCATGCCCTTCGATAAATAATTAACGGAATAGAACTCTTGGGATGGATTAGTATACAAAAAAGTGATTCATTTTCCATTTTGCAATCAATGCTTGCAACTTTTTCCTACTTCAGGAAACCCTGAGGGGTGAAGAAAGAATAAAATACTGTACTCTGAGTATAAACCAAGCTCAATGTTACGAATGTGAAGTCAAAATCATTTTACAAAAGGAATTCTATATATTTTACCCCTCGGAGTTTCTCAGAAAGATTTTAAATCAGTTACAAGCCTCATATTTTAGCATAAAGTAAAAGTGACAATATATTCTGCATATTCTTTGCTCTATTGTCCATTTCAGAACCACACCCTTCATTGAATCTCATCTCAATACATTATTCATAGAGCACTAAGCATCAGTTTTATAAATTATGAAGTTATAAATGTAATCTTGATTCCTGACTTTCACCTCATTTGACCAAAATAACAGGGTCAGTTCAATAATGTTTTGTGACATATTATCAGATATAGGCCATTATAATGTCAAATTAAGCACAAAAATTATTGGAAAAGACATAGTTATTTAGAATATAATCAATAAAAAATATTGATTTTTCTCAGTGCTAATTTCTTGGTCAATGCAAGTATGCAGAATATAGATGCATCAAATGACTACATTAATTTTACAGTGTAGATAAAAAGACAAAAGTACAACTTGTATATGCTATATCCAGTAACTATTTTGGCCAAATCTATATTTAAAGAACAAAAATGTGAAAGATTTTAGCATAACTTTGTAACGATATCAATACTGAAATATGATTGATAATTTGGTTGAAAACTGGCAAAACATAACCACCCATCAACAAATAGTAAGTATTCTACATACGTGTAAAATGGATTCCAAACAGACATAATTCATGTTGCTGCCTGATGTAAAACAACGATAACCCCAGATGTGTTAAGTGTTACAGGAAACAATGGTTCCCATTGGAATAATTATGCGATTGCTTATCCGCATCAGATCTGCACCATGAATGACAATTGGGGTAATTATGCCATAAATACATTCAGTGAGGACCTTTAAAAAGCAACTTATAATATGCTCCAAGAATACCAAAAATTATGGATGTCCCCAAAATCAATTATTATTTTATTAACTCTTATTAATATTATCTATTAGCAGTTTAGCATGCATATATTTTTCTGTTTACATAATTAGACACTACTTATATACCATCAATAATCATGACTCAACAATCTGTTAATTTGAAAGAACTCCACACCTTTGGGTATATTTATTTGTGACATTGGGAGGACATGAAATTTATTTTTATTTATCATGTAACATTGCAGGATGCGAGAATATGTTTATGCATACATTGTTCGTAAAATTATCAAAATAGTTCATTTTTACTTTATTATTCATGGACAATTCTTTTCAATATTTAGTTTCTTTACAGCAATGAATATATTGTTCTGCTAACTTGGCATCTTTGATCGCTATAAATATGAAGTCTTTGGGTTGAAAAATATTGTCAGTAGTTGACACAAATCTGAATTATATCTAAATAAACGCTAATCCTTATTTTCACCTGCAAAATTTAAAGAGAGAATCAGAGATAGCGAGCAGGCTAAACAAAAAATTGTTTCAATTTTAGAATATTTTTGGCTCATGTCATTCCTTGTCATGTCTATTTTCTAAAAATCACAAAACTGCATACTTTATTCAAGGAAAACTAAAGATTTTTACAATGATGTATTATTTTTCTATAAGAATGGTTACCATTCTTATTATTTGGGAGAATCTAAACATTTTTCACCCATTTTTGGACTTTGAATCATAAATAACTTCACCAATTTATAACATATTGTGAATCTTTTGGGAGATGTTGTATTTGATATTGTAAGGAATAGATTGGTAGGTCAATATACCAATACGCGATAACGTTTAGTTTTCGTTCAGTTTAGTTAACTATCGTTTGAAGAGCTCTCGTGTACGGTACAACTTCGTCTACATCCGGGTTCTTTCCCATTGGATTACACAGGGGTGCTATTTTCAATGCCGCACTGCGACTTTATTAAACATTTATGTAGAGTTGCATTTGCACAAATGATAGGTATGTATGTAATTAAGATATATAACAAGACTTTTTGAACTGTAATCCCCAAATCCGAAGAAATCTGTAGCTGAAAATGCCGTCCAATTCCAGTGACGTCACTGGTTTTCCAAATTGCTCAGACTTCATCGAAGATCGAAAAAATATCAATAATGTTACTTCGAATCTCCGATTATCTTTCTGATTATTCAATAGATTGGATCATATAACTATACTTGAGGGGTGATGGAAGATCAGAAGCTGAGAAACGTTCAGAGTATTCGACTCGTTCGGCGGGCCAATGAAAAGTTGTCCCTTCCAAAGCGATGCATCATGGGAGATATTTATGTAAATTACCACCTGAACTCTTATCGCGAATAGGAGTATTATACAAGTTGCTTGTAATTTTGTCACCCCATATAGATCTGATTCTGCCTTTAACTACATAGTTATGTGGGTGATTTGAAAATCAACCCCTCATTTATGAGGCTAAGTGATCGAACAAATTAGCAGAACGATAAAATTCTTGTACACCCCAAGCTGCCAAAGTCAAATATTTCTGTCCCCATTGTCGTACTCCCGGTGTAGTGGAAGGGGCATCAAGTAATCAAGTTTTTTAATTCAAAGTCAAGTCACCTTCAGGAAATGAGTCAACTGTACAGAAAAGCTAGCAAATTGGATCAAAATTATTCATCAAATAAATAAATTATTCCTGATGTCTGCCCTAGGCCTAACCTACAATAATGACATGATATTCTGGATTATCAAATTTTCACGTTTTCTTATATTCATAACCAAAGCTAGGATTATATAGCGTGCACTGGAAATAGCTTGAACTGAAGAATAATTTCTTGTTTTGAAACAAGAAATCGGATGCCATTTTTGAAATATTTAAATTTTGACCGGTGAACTTTTACCTGGTAATTTGATATGGACTCACCTGTCTGATGAACTGCAAGCATTAACAGCGCGACACATACGATAGATAAATTCATCCTGTCTTTCTTTCGGCCTAATCCAGCCCCAAATACACGAATTATTCCTCAAAACCTTCCACTTTCGATTTTCTTCCGTCTATCAGGAATAGTGCGCAATAATAGTTGATCAGAAAATTTACTCAGCAGGTCTAATCTACATCCGCTAATGATATGACAAATTATATTTTATAAATTCATAGTTTGGTAAATGATTTATACAAGTGATTCAACTGTATACTGTTTAACTTTCACTTTATTTTGTAATAAACAGGAGTGACTAAATAATTACCGCATTCAAAGGAGCTACATCATGTATTTAGAACTACTTTTTCATTAACTTTGGCTTTTCGTTCTGTACATTGAGAATATTGATCTTCACATTCTACTTGCCCCGGGGAAACATGATCTTTACATGCCTTTCCAATAACACCCTGCCATCTTTTAGTAAATCCAAGTAGCTATGATATATTGGCAGGGTGATGTAGAAAATGTTGTACTTTTTCAAAATTAGCAATAAGTTAATTCTATTATTCTATTGATGCATTTTTAATGTTTATCACATTTTTGGCTGTTAAGGGAATTAATTTACAGCTGTAGTGGCATGCAGGAATCCAAAACTGTAGTGGCTTAAATGGTGTTTTGTAGGGGCCTAAATCAACAGCTGTGGGGACAGGAATCTACAGCCTATAGAGGCCTAAATCTACAGCTAGAGGAGCCTAAATCTACAGTTGTAAGAACCTAAATCTACAGATGTGTGGGGGCAGGAATCTACAGCCTATAGAGGCCTAAATCTACAGCTAGAGGAGCCTAAATCTACAGTTGTAAGAACCTAAATCTACAGCTGTGTGGGGGCAAGAATCTACAGCTGTAGAGGCATAAATCTACAGTGTTGTAGAGGCCTAAATCTACAGTATTGTAAGGGCCCAAATCTACAGCTGTAGAAGCCTAAATCTACAGTTGTAAGGACATAAGTTTACAGCTGTAGAGGCATAGATATACAATTGTAAGGGCCTAAATTTACATTTTCAGGGGTATAAATTTATATTTGCAGGGGCCTAAACCCACAGCTGTATATAATATACATGTATATTCTAGTATACTGTACTCATAGTTTTTTTCATGGTGTCTAAAACATTTGTCAAGTGTTATTGTGTGATAAGTGGGATACTAGCGGCAATGTCTCTTTTACACTTAGATCAAATTAAACCGAAAAGGAATGTGTAATAGAGGTTGGGGTGGTCCATTGTGCCATGTGTCACTGACCAAGATCTAGTAATTGTAAATGTTATTGGGTAGGTGTAATTATTGTACATCAGGTCACTTACAGTACTTTATAAAGCTTGAGGATTCAGGAGTCCGAATCTGAACTCTTACGTAAATTCAATTGTTAATTTGCGGCTTTGTCATATATTTACGATAAAGCCAATTCTAAATTTTTCCATATATTTTTAAAACGTCATAAATTTACAATTTTTCCGTATATTTCTAGGAAATAGTAGATGGGTTAGTTACATTTGGACTTCATTGTATGATGCAAATGTCCCATTTGGCATGGAAGTACCTTAGGGCAATAGAAATAAATTTATCCAAAGACACAAGCTAGATGGCGCTTTATATTGGAAATATACACATTTTCCAAAATGGCCGCCAAAAATACATCAGAGACAATATCTTTGCTTCTGTGCATGCTACAATAAAAGATTGGTGTCAAAGAATACAGTGATGCAGTCGTAGAATCTATTTTATTAGATCTTGAGTCTTGAAAATTAAGAACTTCAACTTTATATTCAAAATATACGCGTTTTTCAAAATGACTGCCAGAAATATAACAAAGAAGATATCTTACTTTACGAATACTCACAAATTAAGATATCTCACCTTACAAAATGTCCTCTTTGGCATGGAAATACCTTTGGGCAATAGAAACAAATATATCCAAAGACACAAGCTAGATGGCGCTTAATATTGGAAATATACACATTTTTCAAAATGGCCGCCAAAAATACATCAGAGACAATAGTTTTGCTGCTTCGGTACATGCTACAATTATAAGAGTGATGTCAAAAATACATAATGTAGTTGTAGAATCTATTTAATTTGGTTTCGAGTCTTGTTAATTCAGCACTTGCATTTTATATTCAAAATATATGTATTTTTAAAAATGGCTGCCAGAAATATAACGAAGAAGATATCTTCGCTTCTACGCATGCTACAATAATAAGAGTGGTGTCAAAGTATACATTAATATTGGGTTGTAGAATCCATTTAAATAGGTCTTTCATTTTAAGAATTTTCGCTTTATTGGAAATTATGTGTTTCTAAAAATAGCCACCAGAAATATAACAATGATGATATCTTCACATCGGTGCATGCCACACTGATACGAGTGGTGTCAAGATTTATATTTATATGGTAGGAGAATCAATTTCATTAGGTCTTGTGAGATTATAGTTTTCACTTTATATTGGAAATATATGCAGCTGAAAATATAACAAAGATTGTATCTTTGCTAACAAAGATTGTACCTTTGCTATCAAAGATTGTATCTTTGCTAACGAAAATTGTATCTTTGCTAAATATTTCTTTGCTTCTGGGCATACTATTTCATAAAATTCTTCAAAATGTACATTTTTTGGAATGTAAAATCTATTTAATTACTCAGATGCAAGTAGGTAGTTACCATTTTCCCCACCAGGTGGTTAATTCGGGTGAAGTAACATTGCAGGGTATTACAAAGTTCCCTTAAACTTTAATATTCTTAATTTTTAGTGGTTCACATTTCATATTACTCTTTTTCTGATAGTTGTACAAATTAAAATATTTCAACATGGGGACTATGGGGAATCTCCCTGACCTACATGTCACATTTTCGAAGAAAATCCAATTTAAAGCTGACGGTCTCAAAACCACATTTCTTGATGTATTTCTTCATGACGATTCCAAATTCAACATCAGTGAGACTGAATTTTGAATTTTTGATGACAAAAATAAAGATTGTTACTACTCGTATCTAGCTAATTGAATTGTGACCCTTAAAAAGAATCGTTTTTGCCTTGTTTATTTATTTTTCAATGTTCTCTTTACTCAAATTCACCAGAAAGAGTCTCTTTAATAACTTGCAATAAACATGCGTCTGCAATGGTAGTGCAACTTTAGTTGTTGCAATGCAACATACATAAGAGAGAAATGTGATAGATAGAAAACATGCAGGACAGACATACATATGTACCTAGTTAGAAAGGGCCAGAAACCTTCTGGCGAGAGAAAATTTGAAGATCGGAATAGATTTCAAGGGCTGCATATTATTTGCAAAACCCTCTTCATCTCCTCTGACCAAATCATGGACGATGTCTCTGTTTACCGAGTCTTCCACTTATCCAAACAACAAACTATTAAGCTTGTTGTTGATTGGCAACCATTTTGAAAAAAATGTATGTATACACATACAGCACTGAATATTGTGAATATTGAGAAAAATGTTCTTATTTTCTCATTTGAACATTTAAAAATGTGTTTTATTTCAAGTGAAGTCCCCATGATTGTAAAATATGAATTCAACTTTCTGGAAAATTATGGATTAGGATCCCACCGGCACTTTTTTTAAATGTTAAGCTTATTTTGTAAAAAGATGATCTTGTTTTTCTCAATTAAAACATATCAAAAGTTTCTTCACTTTATATCAACAATTACTTAGAAGGGACGGCATTTGAAATGCGCTGAAGTTTAAAACCACATCTCCCATGCTATCCATTGTTTTCAGCATAGTTTCCGTCATCGCAAATTGCTATTCAAAACTACACTTTCAAACTATTCTGCTTTTGAAGAAGTTTAAGAGCCCTTGTTAGATATAATTTTTTTTAATTGAGATTTGCCATTGAGAAAAAGGCATACATTTTCAATAAAAAGTGAAAATGTTTGTTAACTAATAGACATACAGTACAATATCAGAATTTCTGCTGATTTAAACATTTTGGTGACCATTTAGTCAATGCTAAAAATCATATTTAGACAATAAAAATTTGATTAACATAATGTAACCATACCTTGACGACATATCTAGTAAGTAATAGCTAATCAGCTCCTTCTCTGGGACATTTTGAATTTTCCGAGGCATCAATCATAAAATTAACACTATCTTCAATTTAATTGAGTACATATGGCCATACTTTGAAGAAATCTGAAAATAATTGCAAAAGCATACATAAGACAGACGATGGACTGACAGACTGACGGACGTAGGGCTTCACTATATCCCCACTGAACTTTCTTCGTTGGAAAAATAAAGACTATAAATCTTATCAAATGGATTCTACCACCCATTAATGTATACTTGGACATCAATCTTACTAATTGTAGCATGCATACAAGTGAAGATATCATCTTTCTTACATCTCTGGCAGCCATTTTGAAAAAGGCATAATTTTTAGATATAAAGAGGAAGTTCCTAATTTTCAAGACTCAAACCCATACTAAATTGATTCATCACCCACAAAATGTATATTTAGGCACCAATCGTATCATTATAGCATGCATAGAATAAAATATATTGTCTCCGTTGTATTTTTGGCGGCCATTTTGAAAAATGTGAATATTTCCCATATAAAGCGCCACCTGGCGTGTGTCTTTGGATGTATTTGTTTCTAAGTTCCTAAGGTACTCTCATGTCAAAGGAAACGTTTGCATCATAGATTGAAGTCCAGACCCCCTAAAATGCAGTTAACCCATCTACTAAAACCTATTTACCTGTAGTAAAGAATGGGTATTGATATGGCGAACTTTTTGAACACACGTTTCTCTTAAACCAGTCATCAAAATTTTCTGAAAATCTTACAAATTGTCAATTTAATGGCCATCTTTTGAATGGTAACAATATAATTTGAAATAGATATACATACTTTCATCTATATTGTTTTAAAAAACACTTCAAACACTTGTTTTGTTCTTGGTATCATGTTTCCAGAGTGAAATGAAACATCTTTCCGAACCTCATTGGAACAAAATGACATAAACACAACATGTTTAGGTCTCTCAATATTGTTATTGTACAAAGGAAATTTTGGTTGATTTTAAAAAAGTATCTTGTTAATGAAATAAAAGGTTTTTCTTGATTTTTATCTATTTCGGGAGGATTTTGTTTTAATTTTTCGAATACTTTTTTAAAATCAACCAAAAATTGCTTTGTATAACTTTAATATTGAGAGGTCTAAAAACATGTTGTATATGCTATTTTGTTCCAACAAGGTTCGGAAACTTAAAGACATTTTATTTCATTCTCAAGAATTGGTAGAAAGGAGCAAAAACAACTGCACAAAAAAACAAAAATGTTAACAAAAACAGTTATATAAAATATTTCTAAATAATTTTCACATTAAATTGTTGTCAATCAGTCAACATTACATAAAATACCATGTTTTTTTACAGAATGTTTTCAATGATTGGTTTAAGAGAAAAACATCGTTGAATTCAGTTCTCCATATCGATACCTATCCTTTACGATTTGATGTAATCAAAATAATATAGCAGAATGCAAGTATTATATTATATTACAAATGTTGATGATTTAGAAACCCAATTTCAATTGTTCCATGCTCATACATAACATTTTATATATCTCCGAATATTCATGAAATAAGAAGTAATTTTGTCAAGGGTGCTACAATTTTTTGAAAATCCAAGGACATCGTGGCAAGATCATTGTCCAAATCGCTCTAGTTTTGCGACATTAAAAACAGAAGACGACTTCCCTGGTTAGGACAAGTTTAGGGAATACTATAAAACGGGTAATTTTGACACCGGGAAATTTTAGCGATTTTTCAATTTTAGGGGGTTTTAGAGCGGGAAATTTTAGCGAAATGAAGATTAATCTTTAAAAAATCAAATTAGCGAAATGCATGAGAAATTTTATCATTTATGGCAGAAGAATGAATAACGGACATGACAGAGGAATTATCAAAATGTAATACTTCTAACGCACATGGTATTGGTCCAAACTACTGTAATCTCATCTGACTAATCACAAAATCACGGTAGCATTTAAAATCATTGATTTTTCGGTCGAGCACTGAACGAAAAGCTCCTTAAATACTAGTATTCATGTAGTTTCACGGGAATTTGCAAATTTTAGCGCCCGGTTTATTTTAACCCGGTTTATTTTAGCGAATTGAATTTTTAGCGAAACTATAGTGATCGCTAACAATTACCCCTCGCTAACAATACCCGTTTTACAGTAATTCAGAATTGGTTTTAAACTTTTTCCGTATAGAAGTCCTATCGTAAATTATTTTCGGCAAAGATTTACGGAAAAGTTCAGAATGGGACTCCAGAGAATAATGAAATTTAAACTTGTAAAATCCACAAAATTTAATAGTCGCGATATTGTGCTTGATCAAAATTGGTAAAATTAAAACTCGTGAAATATACCAGGAGTACAGTGGCAGTAAAGGGCCTAAATCTACAGCTGTTGAAGCCTAAATCAAGTCATAAGGGCCTAAATTTAGTTTTAGGGGCTGGCCTACATCTACAACATTCAACATGAATTCCCTAGATGGCTAATCACAATCATATAAAGTACAAAGCATTATCTCATTTATTAAAGATTTTTATTTTTTCTTTCGTGTATATGGTTTTAATTCCCCATGAGTTGTACCTTTGTGGAGTTTTTCTGATGTTATGGAAAATTTCTGAGATTTCTCCAAAAATCCATGTGGCTTTTTGTGAAATCTCTCTTGAGGATTTCTTTGTTTAGTATTAGCAAATTCAATATCACGATAGGTGTCCAGTTTTTTAGTTAATTTATTTGAAATTGAGCTAGATTGATATGTATTATGTGTATTTGATCCTCTGTTATATGCATCAGTTGAGGTTTTCCCATGAAATCCCATGGACTTAGGGTTAGAGGGTACTTGTGGTCTATGTTTGGGGAAAAGTGAATCTGACCCATACTGGGTTGGATTTGAAGCATGTTGAGTTATATTTGGTCCAAATTGAGTAGTATGTGTCCAATTTCCATATGTCCCATATTGGTTTCCATGCGTCCCATATTGGTTTCCATGTGTTTCATATTGGTTTCCATGTGTCTCATATTGGTTTCCATGTGTCTCATATTGGTATCCATGTGTCTCATATTGGTTTCCATGTGTCTCATATTGGGTTCCATGTGTCTCATATTGGGTTCCATGTGTCTCATATTGGTTTCCACGTGTCCCATATTGATTTCCATGCGCCTCATACTGAGACTGCACGAAGTCAGCTGAGGTTGAGTCCCGAGTTCTATTCAAATTCTGCTGAGAATTATGGGAGTAACTTAAATGTGAGGATGTAGTCTCACTTTGGACTTCTAATTTTGGTCGCTTCCTTATGTAAGGTTTTAGTACTGTTGTGTCCACCGATTCAGTTCCAGTTTCTGCAAGAACACAATAACAAGTCACAGAGTGAACAGAATCGCACCTTTGAATAGAATACAGTTTTTGGGACGGAACATCCAAAATGGCCACCCTAACATTTACCCAGACTGCCTAAAAACTAATCAGTTCTTGGCTTTCATAGGTAGAAAAATCCCTGAAAATTTCAAATGAATCCGTCAAACGGTTTGGCTGGAAACCTGTAGACAAGCCTTGACAGACAGGATTTTAGGACGTAAAATCCAAAACCGCCGCCTTAACGTTTACCCAGAATGCCGAAAAACTAATCAGTTCTAAACTTTCATAGGGGTAGAAACATCCCTGAGAATTTCAAATGAATCCCTTCAACAGTTTGGCTGGAAACCTGTAGACAAGATTATTCAGATTATTTTAGAGAGTTATTAGTGAAATAAGCATGAGCAGACGGACAACTCAACTAAAAATCATCCAATGTATTATAAGACATGTAAGAAATACCTGCTTGTTCAGCTGATCCAATTGCAGCACTGGGCGACCTTTTAGAAGACTTGGCATATTTTTGGAGAAAATGTTGTCTGAAATAAGAATATCATTGAATCAGAATTTTATTGTAAACTGGCTTAAAATGAGTATCTTTACTTAGATAAGTTTATCTACTTATTATGAAGTTCCTCTACATGAAATTGTGAGCAATGTTCTGTTTGTACATTTAAAAATTATGGAATCTCCTCTAACATATCTAAAATTTAGGTGAATGAAAGTTTTCATTTGTACAAACATTTTAGACAGCCGGATGGATGGATTGACTTTCGGCGCTTCAATAGGTACACTATGTGAGATTAATACTATTAATTGGGAAAATTAACATTGTAATGAGCGTTTCACAGTGACATCTATTGCTCAAATTAGTATGCCACAATTTGCAGTGAATGCAAAAACATTTACTGTTGATCGAAATTCTAATGCATAAATGTGAAGAAAAAAGGCCCCTTAGAACAGAAAGTTGATTTATAGGAGGCATTTCTTACTTTGTGTCAGAACGTTTTCCATGAGTCCAGACTCCACCAAAAGATGGCAGCCATTGCTGATCTGATGTTGTTGCATGATCAAAGTTTGCCCCGACACGGGTAGAGGGGAGTTTCTTCTTTTGCTCTTTATGTACTGAAAAACAACAATTGGCAAAATAGAATTGAACAGTATAGTACCCCGGACAGGTTGTATGATGCAGTCGTTTTTTTACCGAATTGAACAGTATAGTACTATAATTGTGAGTGCCTTAATTTCAAACCATAGCACATTAAAGTGGATATTATGTGTATTTAAGAAGAAATAAGTACAAAAAAAACTTTGGAAATATGTTAAATGCATAATCAAATACTACTAAGCTTCTTTTATGTGAATATTGAAGTGGGAGAAAAATAACACAATAAAAACAGCTTTAGCCTAGTTGTTCATATCTACCATTAGCAGGGTTATTACACCTTTAACAAAAATATTTTGAAACTTTTTGAAAGTTTTTCAGCTTCAGAATTATGTTTTTCCTCATGTTGCTTATTGTGCATTGCATTAAAATTAGCCTCCATTTTTCATTTTCTCTTTTTGTGTTGCCTTAACCAGAACAACGGCAATGCCAAAGCGTAGCGAATCCCATCGAACAGCCATGGATGGGATTTTTACAAACAAAGTATATAGCAAAAATGGGAGCCATTTTTCAAAATGGCCGCCTTCTACCAAAAGTGTCATTAGACCATGTGCCATGCTAATAGTATTCATATACCAAATATGAACAAAATCGCTCCACTACTTTTCAAGTTATAGTAAAAAACGTTAAAAAGGTGGCCATTTTTTAAAATGGCGGCCATTTTTCAAAATGGCCACCTTCTACCAAAACTGCCATAAGACAGTGTGCCTTGCTTATAGTATTTACATACCAAATATAAACAAAATCGCTCCACTACTTTTCGAGTTATAGTGAAATACGTTAAAATGGCGGCCATTTTGAAAAATGACCGCCTTAAAAAGTGTCATTAGACAGTGTGCCATGCTTACAGTATTCACATACCAAATATGAACAAAATCGCTTCACTACTTTTCGAGTTATAGTAAAATATGTTAAAATGGCGGCCATTTTTCAAATTTTTTTTCAAAATGGCCGCCTTCTTTCAAAAGTGTCATAGGAGAGTGTGTCATGCTTATAGTATTCACATACCAAATATGAACAAAATCGCTCCACTACTTTTCCAGTTATAGTAAAATACGTTAAAATGGCGGCCATTTTGAAAAATGGCCGCCTTCTACCAAAAGTGTCATTAGACAGTGTGCCATGCTTATAGTATTCACATACCAAATATGAACAAAATCGCCTCACTACTTTTCGAGTTATAGTAAAATACGTTAAAATGGCGACCATTTTTCAAATTTTTTTTCAAAATGGCCGCCTTCTACCAAAAGTGTCATAGGACAGTGTGTCATGCTTATAGTATTCACATACCAAAAATGAACAAAATCGCTCCACTACTTTTTGAGTTATAGTAAAATACGTTAAAATGGTGGCTATTTTTCAAAATGGCTGCCATTATTCAAAATGGCCGCCTTCTACCAAAAGTGTCTTTAGACAGTGTGCAATGTTTATAGTATTAACATACCGAATATGAACAAAATCGCTCCACTACTTTTCGAGTTAGAGCAAAAATCGTAAAATAACGAGTAAAGGCCGCCATTTTTCAAGATGGCTGCCATGCCCTTCTTTAATATCTACATTTCTAGCTCTATTAATGTCCTATATAATTTTTTTACATCTAAAACATATTGCTATTACAGTTTTACATATTGCACCTAAATTACTGTAAATTCGGCACTAAAATGGCCGCCATTTTGAAATGAGCAACCATTTTGAAAATCGGCTTTCGAGCAGAACTTCTACCCCCATAGGGTATATGTGTACAAAATATGAACAAAATCAGGCCAACGGTATTTGAGTTATTGCCCGGACGGACGGACGGACGTACGTACGGACGGACGTACGTACGGACGGACGGACGGACGTACGTACGTATGGACGGACGGACGGACGGAGGCGTTCCCTATATCCCTCCGAACTTCGTTCGATGGGATAATCATTATAAATTTCAGTTGCTATAATTAAAAGACCCTCACAATGTTGTTGAAAATCATCCAGAGTTGGGCCTATGGTGTTGCCACGGCTACCAGACTCTGCGGATCTATCATTGCCTAGCAACCAGGGGGGAGTGGCACCAGTGAATATATTCCCTTCAGAATCTGCTTTTAACTGAAACAGAATTGAAGAGTTTTTCACATTGGGTGGAGGAACCAAGTGTTATAATGAACCTAAACATGATTGACAGTACAGTAGATGAGAATTTGGGTTTTCTCTTTGGATAAAATCTGTAAATACAGGTTGGGCCCAAAAAGTAACCTAAACAAATGTAAATATCCGATGACTCTGCCTCCAGAAACACGACTTTATAGATTGTTCTTAAAGCAATGCAATTACTGTAGGACATGTCATATCTTTATCAGAAAGCCATAGAGACCAGCTAAAAGCATACAACTTTTTGATATATTTATTGCAATTACCTACTACAATATACAACAATATACAAAAATTACAGTACAGTAAAGGATGTTAGAAATATTTATTTATCGGTGTGCGTGTTGAATACAAATACATGTTGATACAATGCTGCTTAAAATCTCAATTGTTAGCTCTTAACTGTGTTTAGTACAGGTGTATTTATCTATATAATATCTTGGCAATTGCCTGTGATACAGTTTCCCAACCTCCTACACCTTGCCCGTCAGATGCGGAACATCTCTCTGGGGGAACTCCGTGTTGTCTTATGCCACATTTAAGGTGAAAGTGAACAATAGAACTGTAACGACCCCTGGGCACGTCCGTCGGGAGCTGTAGTGTACTGAGCCAGATACTAGACTCCAAAGAGAGTTTGCTAAATTCAATTCCCCATGCGGGAATCAAACCCAGGACCTTCCCCTCTCGAGTCAGACACTCTACCCCTGAGCCATAAAGGCTAGCCACTACAGCTGAGACTGTCTCTTCAAAATCCAGAATCTCACAAATGCAATAACCTTGAAATGTGAACATCTCCCAATCTGAATGGCCTTTATTGATCCAATTAAAACCAGACGTATAACTACTGTACTCTATACTATACAAATATCAACATTTCATTTTTAGAGGACTGGCTCAATAACAAAAGGTAAAGAAAAGAGTTTATCCTACACTTAGTGTACTAAATGTATAATAACATTAAAAAATAAATTTGATATTTATTGGCAAAATGAATATCGAGGATATCGTAACGATATACTCCGGGCGGAGGATATCGTGACGATATACTCCGGAAAACCCAATATGCGAAGGATATTGTGACGATATACTCCGCTTGTTGATTTCCCGCCAAATTGACTCTATTTGGCATGGAATTCATTTTGCAATGATATTATACATTTAGTACACTCCTTGTAAGTGTAGGATAATAAGAACATCCTATGATTTTTTTCAGAATATCATTTTAATCTACTCGGTGATATTGATATATGCACTCGTTCGCTTCGCTCTCTCGTGCAGATATCAATATCACCTCGTAGATAAAAATGATATTCCTCAAAATCATAGGATATCCTATAAATCTTAATCGAGTAATAATTGTTGCTAATGTTAAGTAGACAATCCACAAGCAAAAGTTGGAATTGTACCAAAATAACAATATTTTACTCAATTTAAAAATAGAACTTGATAAAAACATTGCATTGTAATTCTAAAATTTTAAAATGACATGAAAATAAATTTTAAACATAAAATAAAATACTGGGATGAATCACTTTTCAAAAGAAGGGGATTCCCCATTAAATACTGGAGAACAGCATTACCAATATATGTCATGGGAAGTTTGAATAGCTGCCACTTCTAAGAAGTTTCAAAGAGTAAAACAGTTGTACAAAGTGAACATTTTACAGCATATTAAATAGGCAACTTTGATCAAAAAGGAGACCTGTTAATGGATTCTCTGGTTGAAATGGGACTAGATGCAAATAAAGAACATTTCACACAGAAAGTAGACTCTCTAAATTCATAAACAAAAGAGAACAGGCTTCAACATATTTTTAATCACAGGCTGTACTGAAATAGCCCTCCAAGGACATTATGACAATGAAGGCAACATATTTTCAAATGTGATAAAGTAAAATAATATCTTGATGCATGTATAAATAATAAAATGGGATATGTTGAACCAGAGATCAAGCCTAACTGTTCACCATCCCCAGTTAAGTACTTGAACTTGCCTAATTGATACCACTGACGCCAAATAATGCCAAGGATGGAATAATGTTTCAATAACTGCATTTCCAGATATCAGATATTTTGGAGTTATAAGGTTGGAGTATAATACATGCATTTTACATTATATCACCATGGAATCTCGAAGTAGTGAATCTCGAAGTAGTGAATCTAGAAGTAGTGAATCTAGAAGAAGAGAATCTAGAAGTATTGATAGTAGTAGTGATAGCTCCAGCTCAGACTGCCCTGAATGGCTAATTAAGAACACTCTCACTGCAAATGAAGAACAACAACTATCTCATCATGTAACTGAAATACACAACTTGGCTAAACTGAAACACAGCCAAGAAGACTTAGACAGCCATGTAGAATATATCAGGACTGAAGTTATACAACCAATCCTTGATAAATTCAACAAAATGCACCCGGCATTAGCAGTGGATGACATGTTACTGAACGGAAGCATGTCAAATAGAAGTAAAATAGAATTTCCTAATGAGATTGATTTTGTTCTCCCAATGGCACTCTCCAGATATGTATTGATATCTCCCACAGATAGTGATGTAGAGGATTACCAGCCTGGTCAGTTAGATGTAAAGATACCTGATGATCCTCACACTGATTTACTAAATCTCACAAAGGAACATCCAAAGTTAATGGAATATGGCAATTCACTTGATCCAGAATATTTAACTGAGTCCATTATATATAAAGTTGTTGCAGAGTGTTTATCTCAACTACATACTGAGGGTGTACTGATCTATAAAGGAAGAGAAAATCTGGAGAATAAGTCTGCAGAATCATATGAGCTGGGAGAGAAGGAAGTCATTCTAGATGAAGGTCCACATGGTCCCTGCGTGAACCTCAGAATGTGGGGACCATTGTGTGTAACAGACATAGACCTTACATTCTGTCTGAAAATACTCAATATACCCCAGCTACCTTATACAGAGGACACTTTCTATATGGTGTTGCCAATGAGACTGAGATGGGGGAAATCATTCTATGAGAAACCACACTTACGAGCATCCAGGATAGATGATCATCACAGGATTATACTAAAAGGACTGAAATATATTCTATCACAGTGTGAGAAGGCACTTGTTGATAAAATAAAGTTTTACTCCCATGCTCTATTCACCATAATAAGAAACCACCAGGAGCAATGTGATAACAGTGAACATGACCCATCCCTTGCTAAATGTTACTGTGACATCTCATACAATATAAGCAAGCTGGGACTAAGATCATTAGAGAAGACAACAAATGTTGATTTAAGTAAAAAATGCCTTGAAGATCTCTGTGATATAGACTGCCCTGATATGTATATCTGTAAATCAGGTGATCATGGTATAATCATTGCGACAAGAATATTCCTACTTGCTGTGTACATCCTACCAGAACTACTGAAATCAACACGTATAAGTTCTCCCGAGTTCTACAGTGAATATCTGAAGCTGGTGTTTAAAGAGTGTAAGCTAGAATACTGGAAACAATATGTACTTCATTATCCATTCAGTACGCTTACATCTGGTGAGAGGGAAGCGATCGCATCTATTCAGGATATGGAGGAATTATATGAATATGATTTTGGTTATTATGATGATTCATTTGCGGTTGATACAGAGAGAATTCTGTCAAGACTGAAACCTAAGATAACCTCATTGCAATCAAATGTTCAATCACATAGCAGTGAACCCAGAGTATCTGAAGCCAATACTGAGCTACATTGCAACAATAGGGAACCAATATCTCTATTATCTCAGACAATTCCATCAGAATCAAGCACTTCAACATACAGCATGGAACCCAGTGTATTTGAGAACAACAGTCAGCTATATTCTGAAAGGGAGGGACCACCAACACCACATTCATCTCAGACAATCCCATCAGAATCAAAAGGTTCACCCCATAGCATGGAGCCCAATGTATGTGAGGACAATAGTCAGCTATATTCTGAAAAGGAGGGACCACCAACACCACATTCATCTCAGACAATACCATCAGAATCAAGCACTTCAACATACAGCATGGAACCCAGTGTATTTGAGAACAACGGTCAGCTATATTCTGAAAGGGAGGGACCACCAACACCACATTCATCTCAGACAATCCCATCAGAATCAAAAGGTTCACCCCATAGCATGGAGCCCAATGTATGTGAGGACAATAGTCAGCTATATTCTGAAAAGGAGGGACCACCAACACCACATTCATCTCAGACTATACCATCAGAATCAAGCACTTCAACATACAGCATGGAACCCAATGTATTAGAGAACAACAGTCAGCTATATTCTGAAAAGGAGGGACCACCAACACCACATTCATCTCAGACAATCCCACCAGAATCAAAAGGTTCACCCCATAGCATGGAGCCCAATGTATGTGAGGACAATAGTCAGCTATATTCTGAAAAGGAGGGACCACCAAAACCACATTCATCTCAGACAATCCCATCAGAATCAAAAGGTTCACCCCATAGCATGGAGCCCAATGTATGTGAAGACAATAGTCAGCTATATCCTGAAAACGAGGGACCACCAACACCACATTCATCTCAGACAATCCCATCAGAATCAAAAGGTTCACCCCATAGCATGGAGCCCAATGAATGTGAGGACAATAGTCAGCTATATTCTGAAAAGGAGGGACCACCAACACCACATTCATCTTAGACAATCCCATCAGAATCAAAAGGTTCACCCCATAGCTTGGAGCCCAATGTATGTGAGGACAATAGTCAGCTATATTCTGAAAAGGAGGGACCAACACCCCATTCATCTCAGACAATCCCATCAGAATCAAAAGGTTCACCCCATATCATGGAACCCAGTGTATGTGAGAACAATACTGACTAAATTAATAAGGAGACAGAACTTGTGAAGGCTGTGGGAGGAGAAGCCATAAGACCAGTGCCTGCTGCTTTTGTAGCTGTGTATTATGCTATAAGTGTACATATTTTCAAAATCTAAATATATGCTGTGTCCATCATGCTTAAAGTGTGCGCCCGACCTGGCTACGTATATAACAGAGTTTATACTGGCGGATTAGACTAGTTCATTTTTTATATGTGTGTGAAAGCTTTATCTTATTTGCGTTTTTTTCGTTTAGTACGGTTTTGTTATAATTGCCGAGGTCATATAACCGGGATAAAACAATGATTATCGTTGACTGCGCACACACAAAACATTTACGTCGAGTAAAACAGTGTTATTAAAAACAACAAGCTTTAGAATACAAAGCCTAGTAGTGTGATAATAAGCTGTACACTACCACTGCTGCATGTACATATCAGGGCTCATAAAGAGTGGATAGGGAGGTTGTGTTTGTCACTTTTAAATTTTACATTTCAAAATTGCCATTTTACATGTCATAATTTCTTGGTTTCATTCGTTCAGCCGATCAAAACATTGTAAAACAATAAATCGTCTGTTACGTATAATCAATTTTGTACAGTTTTGATTAGTTGTCAGAATGAAGTTACGTTCATCTGAATCCATGTTTCAAAACAAAAATCATATTTTCTTCACTTCAAAATACTTCATTGAGATGAATGCTCGGAATTGTCGTTTGCAATAACTTATTGTCGTATTCGTTCTTTTATCTACTCGCTAGAAGCATTTAGTCGTACATTTGAGGCCAGGTCACCTTCTCGCGTACCTCTTGGGGAGCCCCACATTTGTGTCTGTACTCATGGAAGTAAATTCCCCGGTGTAGCCGAGAGCCACAAACCTTCAACAGGTTCGAAATGGCCAATTTCTCTCATATTTGTATACTCATATTTTATTAATTACCGCCTACAAAGTATTGCTAATAACTATATGTAATTTCAATAAGGAAACTTATCTGGCTACATGTAAATTCAATATCAACACTAGATGTTTGCTCAACACGTCCTGGCTTACCTTGTGATGACAAACCCTGGGTTTTCGCTATTTATAGTTTATCAATACCTGGACGCATGCGCATTTTATAGTTTATCAGGCACTTTAAACAAAATGTATAATCCAGAAAAAACCATATTTTCAAAAACCCCACTCACAATATCAAATGAATCTGAGGATGTATTTACAATGAAAAGCAGAAAATGAAAAAGGCGGCAAAATGAAGATGTCATTGCCATACTATGGAAGTCAGAAATATTTTGTATCAATATATCTGGTGTCCAAAACATGTTACCTAACCAACAGAAAACAAGTATCTACAGGTAGTTTGTTCATTGTCTTTCTCTGTGGTATTTCATAAAAAGTGGACGTGAATCAGTTTTGTCAAAATAGCATTATCACTGGGGAGTATCGTGATGCAACAACACCGTGTTGTTGCATCAAGATGGCCAGACTTCCGGTGATAGATTTTCGTACGATATTTTGTTTCCCCAATTAAACCCATTTCTAGGACGAGTTGCTCAATAACCATACACGTGCAGTTAGCGCACGATCTATATTTAAAGAAACTGTCATTAGTGTACATGTACCATCACCAAGAAGCAATAAGTTCACGGTTTTAGTTCCTCACTATTGATGCAACAACACCAAACCGAAGATGCAACAACACTCCTCTAGATTTGAGCAATGATGCAGCAACACCAATTAATAGTATAATTTCAGAAGACCATAAATCTCGAGAGAAACAGATTTTTAAATGCTACTATTGCAACACCGTTACCCATTACCCATATTTGCGTTTTTCTCAAGGCATTCAAAATACACGTCCTGCGGGCGAAGATCCTTTATATGTATTTTCAAAAATTTATACTTTTGAATATTATAATGTACTGGACGTTGTTCTATAACATAGTTCAATCGCCTTTAACATGGCAAGCTTTAGTAACCCAATCTATTTTCATAAACCACTGTTCCATAGCTTGATGACCCTGACTCCAGTTAGTATCATTCAAAATGGTGGACAATTATCTTTCGTTCTCGGTAAACATGATGAGTTATTGGAAATTATCTGTCGTCCATCTGTGGAACAGTGATAAACTAGTAGATGTACGTTACCACTGTTTATCAAATTATAACTTAAACAGTTTAACTGTGACATTCGTGAGCTTATGTTGATGGGATGATTGCTTCATCGACATTATATGATTCTTTATTTCCTCCAATTGGGAGAGCCAACGTGTAAAAACGTCTAATTGACTTTATTAGAGAGGCCGTTTAGTTACACGTTTAATGGAAATCTTGCACGACGCACATGTAGAATTATTGCTCTCTTTGGATTCCTTCTCTCCGACTGAGTAAAAAGATAAACAAAAGTGATAAGATTTAGGGCCCAAAAAGGTAAATTGATAGGGGTACAGTTATTCCAGATATCCCGGGCCCTCGGGAAATATCATATTGTCTCTCGGAATAAAACCAATATTGAATCCCTCTCAGTAAATAAACCTTTATATAATAGCATTGTATAACTGCAATATCATTAAACCAACACTCATCCTATACAACACTCTTGAGAACGATGTACAACTTGTATACCGATACTGTAATCCTTGAAAGTTCGGAGGTCGAGGTCAACAGTTCTCTCAGGGTTTACTGTTGAGGTATACACTTTGGCCAGTTGACCGAATAGAGAGGTTAACAATTGTTTGTAAAAATAGGGGTCAACAGTACCTAGTAGTGGTCAACAGTTTACAATTGTTGACCTCCCAAGGGGTCAACCGGCAAAATTGTATACCGAGACTGTAAACCGAAAAACTACTGTTGACAGAGACCGAAGGTTTCAAGGTTTACAGTCGAGGTATATGATTTTGTCGGTTGATCGAATGGAGAGGTCTACAATTGTTTTGTTAGTCCAAGTAAACTAATAATACACATATAGACGACAATCATCGATCGGCATGGCTTCATTTCACAACCTTTTCTCCGAACCACGTTAGCAATATTTTTTTAGAAAATATGGAGACAGTGCAAGTAGCTTAACTCTGTATTTGGCACATCACGGCGTACTCGTTAGTGAATTAATGTTAATTTAAAGTTTCTATTTGTATTTTTGCTATACTTGTCGCCTAGTAAAGTCATTTTCATCAACGTTTACAAAATGTCCGTCTTCCATGTTTTTTGTGACGTCATGAAACTTTTTTTCAGAAGTAGCGGTCAACAGTACCTAGTAGCGGTCAACAGTACATAATTTTGACCGCTAATCACCCAATCAGAATCGAGTATTTCAGTCGAGGTACTAACAATACATTTTGTTGCCCGCTCATCAACCAATCAGAATTGAGTATTTCAACAACACAAAATGACTGATATCTGTTGTCTTTCCAAAATTATATTAGTTATTTGTAAGCAATTTCCATACGGTAAATCAAGGGCATTTAATTTAGAAAATGTATAATCTTTATTTTTCAGATACAATATCAAAGAGATTGTCTCCCGGGGATTCTGTACTTTATTTAGTTTGCCTTGTATATCCTTTTAACTTTGATATAGACAAAGAAACCAAACAAAATACGTTTCGTTCATGGACCACCGACTCACGCGTTTTATTCATGTCCCTACCTACACCTGTAAACAGAACATAAAACAGTTTCTCTTGTTGTTCAATGATACATTATATTGGCGTTTTTGCATCAGCACATTGGTGTTGTTGCATCATCGATAAGAAACAGAGTGGTGTTGTTGCATCAATAGTGAGGAATTAAAACCACGAATTTATCGCTTCTTGATGATGCTACATGTATACCAATGACAGTTTTTTAAAATATAGATCATGGGCTAACTGCATGTGTATGATTATTGAGCAACTCGTCCTAGAAATGGGTGTAAATTGGGAAAACAAAACATCGTACGAAAATCTATCACCGGAAGTCTGGCCATCTTGATGCAACAACACGGTGTTGTTGCATCACGATACCCCCCAGTGATTATGGCCTTCCTATTTTTCTAGTGTCGTTTTCACTGGATTATCTTGTTATGAATCAGGGAAGTCAAAAGATTACAAATAGAAATCATAATAAAAAGTTGAAGATCATTTAGAAGCATTTGAAATAGAATCAATGGCAAAGTTTGAAATAATGTCAGCGGACAAATATATTTCAGGACGGGATGGGAATTATCCATTCGGGATGGGACATTCGGGACGGGTTGGGATGGGACATAACCAATAAAATAGTTAATAAGTTTAAAACAGTTCAACAACTTTAATTTTCCATCTACTTCCGGTTATGCTTATGTAGCGCAGATCTTTTGAACGTCATAAGAGGGCAGTGCATGTTGAGCAAAAACTTGTAATCTGAGATTAATTTTAAATTTCTACATTTCTCGCCACTGAAGTTCTTTGTTATTGTTTTAATTAAAGCAATTTCAAAGAGAAAGACTGTTAGCGATTAAACTGCATGTTCTATCCTGAATTTTTGTTTATGACAATCACTTAAAGTAATGTCCACTAGATGGCATTTATGCATGAATGTAATTCGGCAGATAAGTTGAAATGAAAGAAAATTCTAGTTTAGATCATATTTATCATGCATTTGGGAAGTTTTAGGGTCATATACAGGAGAAATAGTATAACATGGACCGAATCTTCGGTACACGAGGGTTTTCTAACATATTCATGTAGTCTTATGTTAGTTAAACCTTCTATAATTTACATACCTGTGGTCCTATGTTAGTTAAACCTTCAGCGTGCACGGAGGCTGTTCTAACTCCACCCAATTTCTCTGTAGCCTGATCTGCCATCCCATGTGATCTCTGGTTATCCGCCTTTGTCTCGCCTTGATTAGTGCTGTCAACTATAGTCGCTTGTTTTGACTGGTAATATTCAGGAATTATATACAGCATACAGTTGATTTAAATGTGAAATAATCAGTCTTAGTGTTATGTATATCTTTATTCAGAATATAAGTTTAAACAGTTTCAATAAAGAGAATTTCACTAAAAGTCATGGTAACTTATAATTTCTGTATATGTAACCTGATTGGTACACCAATCATAATTGCAGATACAGGGTGACAGAAAGAATGGCACCCACTAATCTTTCTCAATAATGAAGGAGTCTTTATGATTTTTGTGTATAATAATAGAGTGTTCAATGGAAGAAAGACTGTTTAAGTTATGTAACATCAACAACTTTGGGATTTAAAGATATCACGTTTTTCATTCAGGTATGCTCTCGATGAAATCGTCAAAAATGTTTAAAAATACAATTTTCTGAAATTTGGATTTCTGTCTTAGCCATTATTTGAGTCATTTCTGGATTGCTTACACATATATTATCATAAATATGTCATACCTGCCCATTTGAAATATCTCTTAATTTCCAAGTTGTTGATGCTATGCAAGCATATCAATCTTTCTTATATTGAATGCTCTATTTATACATAAAAAATCATAACGATTCCATCATTATTGAGAATTTTATTCCAAAATAAGTGGGTGGCGTTTTTTGTGTCAATCTGTGTATTCAAATCATTAGTTATTAATCAAAATAAAATAATTTGAATTCATTTAAAATGATAAACTCTCAAAACAAAATGATTGTGTTATTACTTGTATTAAAATGTGAATGTCTACGTGCCTTTTAGGTGCGGATGGTTTTGAAACTTATTTAAGATCATTTTAGCAACATGTTTCAATATTTTCTGTACAGAATTAACAATCCTGAGTATGATATGCCAAAAATGTTAGTATCTCAAAAGCATGTAAATTTATTATTATATTCAAACAAATAAAATATGTTTATTCAATATTTGTCTATACTACTTTAATGAGCCATGTTTTACCAAAATGGCTACCATTGATGGATACGCATTACAACTCTGGTTTACACACCTCACGTTTGTAAAACTGACGTCTCGCTTCCATTTGCTGGATTCTTTTTACTTCCTGAAAGCATAACAAAAATTAACCTTTAATTAAAACTTAATAATAATAATTTAATTTAGTAATTTAATTTAATTTAAATTACCCTTAATTTTATTTTTTACACTTGTATGTGTTAGATTTATCTTCTCTTACGCTATTTAATATGATAATCGTTTGAGACCTAGCCTTAACCAATGAGAGTAGGTTAATCACATTCAACTACCCAATCAGAATTGCACTCACGGAATTGTAATCTTTTATAAGTAGCTTTTGTAAGTAGCAATTGCTTCATATTTAAACTCACATGCAAGGCCATGTCAGTTACTTTTAGTCATTCAGACATTATCAGAATCAAAACTGTGAACTGTCTATCCTATACAGTATGTGGATGATTTTTATATTTCTTACTAAAAGCGTACCTTATTAATAGCATCTTCTTTCTTTTTAGTATACTCTCTTTTCTTACCCTCTGTATTCTCCAAGAATCTGAAAATATGGTGGATATAAAGATTTCATTTTTACATGCACTAAATAGGATACATCAAAAATCTAGAACTTGTTTACAAATGAAGTGCCCTGCACTTTGTCTCAAATTCCTGCCCTGTTCAAAGCTTCACCCTAATGCCCTACACTATATATTTCTCTCCTGCCCTGCACTATGCCTCACTTAACCTCATTATAAAATTAGATTCAGCATTCTTCAGAGATATCTATTCGTAATCCTGAATCAACCTGTTTAACCTCTTTAAAAACCAATTACCTCTTTAGTTTATCCTTTGGAAGTATGTAGATATTTTTGTTGGTTCCTTCAATTTTATGTTTTCGCCAGAAATCATTTGTAAATGTATCATGGTCAGTGCTGGAATGTAGAATTTTATGAGTTAGTTAAGTGTTCATGCCATATCACTCCTACATGTCACATGTACAATAATGGACTTTACCAATTAATTTTTATTGTACATTGGCTTATTGTGGTGAATTTTATCTCATGATTTTACAATTTCACCAATTTACAAAAAATGACAAAATTAAAAATTTGTTCATTTTGTGCCACGTTCAAACAAAGAGTTTGTGTTCCATTTAAACAATTGAAGGTAATCGAGGTTTGGGAACAAAAAATAGGGATTTTAAGCTTGCAAAGTTTTTCACAACCTAAACCTGAATGGAAAATATTTAAGTAATGCATTTGTATGGGCGATCGGTATGGGTTAGTGTTTCGATTTTATATGCAAGCTTAAACTCCCTATTGATGTGATTAACAATTGATGAGGATTCAAACCATGTAAGTTTGAAGTGTTAATGCACATATTTCATTACTCTTTACCTTGTTAAATGCTCTAATAGTCCAGCATTCTTTATCGCTACTTCATCTTGTCTCTGATGTTTCTCAATTTCTTTTGCACAAAAATAACACCAGAATTTAGCGCCACTTTCCCATGCGTAATCGTGAACAGCAGGGGAGTTTATATCTGCCATGGCTGCTTTGATCTGAAAATACAGAATTGAACAATTATAGTAAAACCTGTCGTATCAGAACACTTCTGGAACCAGCCAAAGGTGTTCATTAGGTGTTCACATTTCGAGGTTTTTATGAAGGCCCCCCACGAAGTGGGCGGAGCCATTCGTTCTATGGACCGACTGTCGACCATTCACGTGACCAAAAGTCTGCCATTATTACCTTATATCGCAAATCATCAAAGCAACGATCACGACGTCATATGTTGTGTTTGTGATGAAGATATGATGTAATATAACATAAACTATGACGTCAGTTACTTATTGCCCTATCAACTAAACAGACAAGAAAGCTAAACGGCACACATCACAGTGTTAATTATATTTTAATTTGTGATGTCATTAATATGTTACCTAACCAACAGAAAACAAGCAGTTACATGTAGTTTGTTCATTGTCTTTCTCTGTGGTATTTTCATAAAAAGTGGATCAGTTTTGTCAAAATAGCCTTATGGCCTTCTTATTTTTCTAGTGTCATTTTCACTTGATTTTCTTGTTTAACATGCGTGTCTATGGAAGACAAAATTGGGACTTAAACACTGTTCACATTAGCACTCTACTATACCTAACACTTAGAAATGCATAAGATATTCTGTTTGTCTAATTGTATTGTTTAGTATATTTTTTAAAGTACCTTATTAACATTTAACAATCATCCAATAAACCATTCATAAGGAACATACACATAAAAACAAATTACATAATCATTACATAAGCCAAATGGGTTGCTCATGAACACCAATTTGAAACTTCAGAATGCCTTCAGTGACTCAAAATCACAAAAAGTCGGGTAACTAATATGTTACCTTCGTCCAAAGATAAATTCCTGCATGTATAACGGGTCATGTTGTAACTTAGAATTTACAGCCAGTTACTATGTTACTAATGTCAAACATTAATGACATATCGTCCAGTTTTCGAATATCGCCATTGTTCTTGAAGCTATTTTGTTTTAATTTTAGATGAAATCCTGACGAAATCCTGCAATATCTCATCAAGGAGCTGAACCAGTCCCATTTTAATTAATGATTTATTTCATCTGGCTTTTTTTAGAATATTCAATAAATTTAGTTCACAGTATTCCAGATGAAATTACCTCTAGCCAAGAAACTGGCTAGAGACTTGAGTAACTAATATGGACCTTCCTAAGCTTTTATTGTGTCATATATCTTATTCTTATATTTTATTCTCATAGTTTATAGTTAGTTTTTAGTTAGATTAGTTTCTTAGTTTGTACATAGTCTAATGTGTCATGCTCGACACTTTTGTCAATAAAAGAAAAAATAATATATCTATTATCACCCAATTTATTTTTAAATAGACTTCCGGTTTGTTGATTTTGATACATGTCTCATTAATTAAGCAATATTTAAACTGTACCTTTTTCTTAAATTTAATCAGTATATTGGTAACAATCATTTTATGATGGTTTGAGTATAAGTGCTTGCGTCCTTTTGTGTGATTTAGCCGACAAATTTCACAAAATGAAAACTGCTTCACGGGGGCTGCCATCTTGAAATTGTTAGTCTCAAACCCATTTGTTGTATCATTAAATATAAAAATGACAATATCAAATATAAGCCAAAACCAATACTAGTATATATCGAGTACATTAATTTACAAAATCCTAGTTACCAATATAAATTAACTATACATAGTTAATTGATTTATTATTGATTTGGAGTTGAGACTACTCACCACATGTTTTGAAGATGGCCAACCTTCCTTCGGAAATTGAGGTGCAGTTTGCCCAAAAACTCGCTTCAAACGAAAAGAAGTACAGAGACAGAGCCGTCAAGAAGTTGAGGAAATGGATAGAAATACGATCCTCGCAGGAAGTCGGTAAGAATCAGTGAAGAGCATCGTCTTTGACTTTTCATAAAAAATCAAATAAAAAATCATGCTTTTTTTATTTTCACAAGTTTGATTTGATTTTAGGGGAACAGAAAGCTGTTATGAAATTCCTTGACAACTTTTATATTTAGTCAAGTGCACTCCTTGCGGTTACCATGGCTCTGATGAGTTAGACTTACTTGAGTCTCTAGCCAAGGAAAATCCTGTACCATAACTGGTTCTGCCATACTTATCCCGTTCCCGGACTATACAATCAAATTTTTTATTCTGTCAATCAGTTCATATGGTTAGAATAAGGAAAGAATGTGATGTAACCACGTGTCTACAGTGTGGCAAATAAGAGGTCGCCAAACGCCAAAAACAGGGAGTGAAAAAAATTTGGCGATAGAAGCTGCGATCTATCTCGACAATTTCGGCGATGGATGTTAGAACTTCACAGTTTTTATCCCCGACATTCTTGAAAAATGAAGTTTCATAGTTGATCCTATTCCCATTCACAAAGCTTTTTATTCTACCTAAAACATGATCAGAATAGAAGAACATAAAGCCACCTACCTTAGAGAAGAACAATTTGAAGTAAAATAGCCAGATAATCATCAGTATTTAGAAAAAAAACACTGAAAATCATCTAAATTTTGCCGTGAGCAGGCAGGAAGTTAGCCTACTCAGAGGTAACAATTTTGGTATTGTATCTGTATTGATCGCACTGCCATCTTTATAACTTATGAAAAACTGTTGAAGTCAAGATTCATTTATACAACCAGATACCTGTCTAGAACTCCTTGCACATTTGATTCCTTTATTTGTTTATCCTCATTAGACTAAAAAAAGTTCATGATGTTCATTTTAAAGAGGTTCAATTCAAAAAATGCTGCATTTTCAAAATATTGATCTCTCCAAACTCTGAAATAAAAGCTTCTTTGATGATACATACTCTAGCAGTATAGCCTAATAACACAATTTTCTTTATCTATATTGTTAGTACATACAACTCTAGTATAGACATTTGATCAGCATGCTCTGTCTAATTTACCCTCAAAAAATTTGAGTAAGATTTTTCCAACGAACCTACCTGCCTAGTGCCTACCCCAAATCTGAAATTTCATTGATCAGGAAACAGACATGTGTGGCCTTTCCACTTATTTTAAGCAGTTTAATTTACCATTCGCAATTCATGCACAGTTTAAGATGAGGGCAAAATTTATGCTGACTAGACAAAATTATGGCCAGACGAAAAATATTTTGGCGAGAGTGTTTCAAATGTCTCTGGACAAATTTGGCTATAGTGAAAAAATCCTTATTTGCCAGACTGGTCTACTTACCGGCTTGTTCTATGTCATCCATCGGACTAGGTTACATCATGGAACGCAGCCGAACAGGACGCTGAAGGCAACAGCATATCTATCTTGATCTTAGCCGAATTTTTGGAAATTTAGATCGTCCATTTTGCAAGCTCACGTGACTGACACGTGATACATGTCTGATCACGTGACTAGTTACTGTATCGATCATGTGACTTAATCACGTGTCAATGACGTGTCACCCAATCATGTCTTCAAGGAAATCGGAAGTAAATATTTGGAAAATGTTTTCCGAGCATTTGCTACTGATTATAGAAGGCCCAATCACGCAACGAACGAAACTGCTAAATTGTTTTCGTGCCTAACATGCGCAGTACGCAATGAAAGAAACTGCTAAATTGTATTTTTAGAGCTGTTTATTGATCTATTGATTCATAAAGACCTGTAATGATGCATTCAAATAAGACCGCCTCCTAAATGAAAACAGTACACATAAGGTGGTGAAAAAACAACGAACTAAAGTTGAAAGATCGCAACGTTCGCTACTTTGTTCAATTCCGGAAATCTCCAAGGGGCTGCAAATGGGAAATTATTTAGATTTAGATTTTATAACCTCAGAATACTGGCTTCATTGTCGTGTTTGGCTGCGTTCCATGATGTAACCTAGTCCGATGGATGACATAGAACAAGCTAGTAAGTAGACACGTGGTTACATCACATTCTTTCCTTATTCTAACCATATGAACTGATTGACAGAATAAAAAATTTGACTGTAGTCCTGCACTGAGCGCATTCATTTGCCTGTACGATTACAACTTGGGAGAATTATCTACGCCCCTTACACTTAAGATACCTACCTCAATGCATTATAGAACTGAAGATGTAACTTCTAATATATTGGAACCGCCGATTGTCTGGGTATATCGGCAGAACGGGAACATTTTCTCTTTTTCATCGAGAGAGATTCCATCACTTTTCAAAATGGCGGTTGGATTTAAAAGGGGAATCCCCCGTTTGGCTGTCCCGGATGTAGCCCGGAAGTACCAATATGGAGGAATTTGACGGTTGAAATAAGTTAAATGTTACACGCAAATATTGCGATCAAAAACGAAAATGTCTTCGTTCTGCCGATAAACCCAGACAATTGTGGATTCAACTACACGAAAAGAATGCTAAATTACCAAGGAATCTATTGAAGTAGGTATCTGAAGTGTAAGATGAGTAAAAAATTCTCCCATGTTGTAATCGCACAGGCAAAAGATTGAGATGTTCACAGGACCATAGTCCGGGAATGGGATAATGCCATACAAGCACCCTGTCTTACTCACGTCGAGAGCTACCATGTTAGATTTTGAAAGTATAGCTCTCCATCGTGAGGATCTCCCAGCTGAAGAATTGTGACATCTAAATTTGATCAGCGCCAGTCAGCAGCTTGCTGTTTGTCTCAAACTGTAGCCTACATATGGGCTCATATGTGTCTACTTTCCCCATGCATGTAGGATCGCGGATGTGCTTCTATGGCGATCAGGAGTTCTAATCGTTTTTTGTTCGATACCCATATCCAATATGGCGGTTAAACGGAAATACTATCGACGCATGCGCAACTTGGGAAACGTCAAGCCGCCATATTGAATATACCTGGCCAAAACTTTTGACACGACCAATAAAATGAAGTCCTGATCGATACATAGGGCAGTGAGACGTTCTATAGTTGAGCTGAATGAAAGATGGCGATGTAGGATACATTTTCAGGTATATTATGTGCAACATGAGTCAGCTGAATTCCCTGAAATTTTCTTTGAAGTCAGGATTCTTAAGCTGTTGATTCTAGCGATAGAGAGCTATACTTTCAAAATCTAAGTAGCTCTCGACGGGAGTAAACCCTGTCCCCTTTATGCAAGTCGGGGCAATCTGCGCAAGGTCATTCATAGATTAAAATTGCTTTTCTGTGATCGGTTCAGTTTTAGTACAACAAATTTCGGCGCAGGTTTATTCTGCCATTACGCTTGTGCTGGGTGTATATTTTATATTTTTATGCTAGATCTAAATAGAAATTTAAGGTGCATTATGTAAGAAATGCTGCGAAATAATGATCGTAAGTGACATCTATCTTAAATTATATGTTCTTATTACGCATGCATTATGATCAATTAATCAAATTTAATGCGCTAAAACCGAACTAAAAAATGGAAGCTCGCGTAGATTGCCTCTAGTGCTATATGCTGTCTATATGATACGATAACAGTAAGGGAGAAATTGGCAAGTTAATTGACAAAACTGACATACCTTAAGGTGCCGTGGTACTTAACAGGAAATGACAAAACAGGAAGTGACAAAACCATGCTGGTCAAAACCATGTAGGTCAAAACAGACTTGGTTATCTTGGTTCAATAAATGTTTGAAATCCAGCATGGTTTTGTCACTTCCTGTTTTGTTACTTCCTGTTAAGTACCATGGCACCTTAAGGTAACTTAAAACTTAATCAAAACATCCAAGATGGCCGAAACCAGGAAGCACATGGCATTTGAGTATAATCTGACCATCAAAATTAACTGTCTTTTGGTTGGATTTTCTCTCAATTTTTTAGTCCCACTTATCATTTATATAACCAGGCTCACTGTGGTAATGCAAATGGAAACAGTAAACATTTTGGAATGGGCTATTTGAGTCCTCTGAAAATGTGAAAGAAAAATTGACAAAAAGAGTAGCACGGCAAAGGTCCCTGAACATTTTTTTTCTAATTTCTCTGAAACATCCCTTTAATATAGCCCAAAATGGAAGGAGCTTTAGAATTTTGAAATCTCTCATACAAATTTAAAAAAATAGAAAAAAAACAATTTGAGAAGTGTACTTTTTTCCTTATTTTGATCCCAATTTTTTTATCGGCTAATTTTTCAAATTTCCGTTGCTCCTTCGTTTTTGATATATGTTTGAAGTATATTTTCTGAAATGTTCAGATATTTTGAATCAGCGGTTTTTCACGGGCTACTCCAAGAAAAAAATCTTCTCAAATTCTTAAAACGGCACTTTTTTCTCAAACTAAAGTTTTTTGTTGTTCTTTGATGTCTTTGTAATGATTACAGTGCACAAGCATATGTGAAATAATAAAAACGACTTCTCAGGAAGAGTTTGAAAATTTCAAGATTTTTTTCTGAAAATCGATTAAGTTAACAGTCACCTTAATTAATTCCTGTTTATCTGCACAAAAGGGAGCTTTTGTTTTTCATTGAGAAAGAACACACCTCTTTTCAAGATGGCAGTAGGTTTTCGAAGGGGGATCCCCGTAATTGCATGCGAGTCTTGTATTTATAAAAGCCCGTATGTGCCATTAGATAGATGAATTTTGGGTTGAAATTAGTTACACTAAAATTGCTTTTAAAGGTAGGTAAATGTAGATAAAAACCATTTCACTTTCAGAGAAAGCTGTTCTGACCTCAAGCCCAGTTGAGGTGTTAGTTATTGGCCACAGTTTTGTCAAAAGACTTGAGGCGTATGTTTACGATCACCCATGGGAATGGGACCCTCCTGGGTGTAACATGACTTATGTATCAGAGAGCGGGGGATCAATAGGAAGCATAACAGAAAAAGCTAAAGACATTCAGCATGAACGATTTCACATAGCTTACATACAATGTGGCGGAAATGAGGTTGTCGCCCAAACTGAACCTGAGAATGCAACCCTCAATGAAATCACACAGAATGTGACCAATCAAATGATGGCACTTGCTGATGAAGTACTTTGTAAACTTGTATATATCGGCAAAATTCCACAAAGATGGTTAACTCCAAAGAATTTTAAGCGACAATTTGTGAAAACAAAAGATCATGCTGGGAGATGTAACCAAGTTATCACTCAAATAAATGAAAAACTCAACGATCAAAAGTCTACAGTAATTCTGTTTTCAAACACCGACGGAATTGAAGATGATTTCCAAGATGTTTTATCTGATGGGACACATTTCAACAAAAAAGGCCATGAACTTTGGCAAGCTAGTATGCAGACTGAACTAAACCAGGCGATTAAGAAATATTTTAAGATGACATGTGAGTGATATTCAAAGTTAAGATAGATAGCATGACAAATTATGATGTCATATTTACTAACATATCCAATAATGACATCCTATAATAGATATGATTAACATCGTCAATTGATTACATCAGATATATAAAAGATAATACTAACATGACCAAAAGTGACATCATATACTGTACTAGATAATACTGACCAGGGCACGCCTTAAGCGTCGGACAGCTGGTCATTATCTGGTTACTTTTGATACTGACCAGTTGATTTTTTCACTAGGTATAGGAAAATAACATTGCAACTGGTCAGTAATGCCTTTTTGACCAGCAGCTCTGGAATCCTTAGGGCATACACTGATACTGACATGACCAAAAGTGACATCATATAATAGATAAGACTAACATGGCCAATAGTGACATCTTATAAAAGATAAGACTAACATGGCCAATAGTGATGTCATAGACTAACATATCAATAATGACATCATATAAAAACTGACATTGATATTTCGTTGCTGTTACATGATAACATTGACATGACAATGACAAAAGATATGACAATGACATCTTAATAGATTAAGAAATATGTAAGTTAACAGTGATGTTTAAATACAATAGTTAGGATTAGCATTGTAAATTAAGTACAATAAATATTATTTACAATTCTGTTAGAACATTAGGTAAGAGTAACAATCATAGATACTAGTGTTCCGTAATTCCGCGGCGTGGACGGAATTTGACAAAACTTCAATTTTTTGCAGAATCCCTGATTTTCATGAAAATCCCGCGGAATTACCAGAATTTCCAGAAATTACATATTTTACGATCTCCTACCTTTGCGGGGCATTTGAAGAGTGTCTGTTTATGTCCAACAATCAATCATTATTGAGTACAAGTACGATTTCACCGTGAAATTCAACATTCTATCACGTTTAAATTCGCTAAAGCGAGTTCGCTAATGACGCGCAGTTCTTACCTAGAAAGTAGCTGACTTCTGTTTCCGTTTTTCATCGTTTTAAAAGATTGCAGAATTTGGACTTTTTTTGAAAATTTGTGCAGAATTTCGATTTTCTCCTTGCAGAATTTTGATTTTTTTCATACAGAAAACTAGCATCTGTGAACAATGTTATCAAAGTACAATGAAAAATACAATGAATGAGACTAACAATGATAGGTACAACACTTTGTGTGAGTTAGGTAAGGATTCAAAATACAATTGATGAAATGAAAGTACAGAATGGCAATGGCATCAAACTACCATAGATGCTTTATATTATTACATGTGAATAATAACATCAATAGTAAAATAAATATGTTTGATAATATTCGAAAAGTAAAGAATTTCGAATTGATGAAATTGAGTAAAACAGATGAAAATATTGAGATGATTGCAAAACATTTGGTTTTTTACAGTTTTGTATGAATTTAAAAAAATTAATGGAGTGTATATGTTATATGCTTTCAGGTGGCTTTACAGAGGAACAGTTGGTCAAGATATGGAAAGGTCTTCATTATTGCATGTGGATGGCAGATAAGCCCCTCATACAGGTAGGTCGTGTAGCAAACCTTTTATATAATACCAACTGTTATTGTATGTGGAAAGGTCTTCGTTATTGCATGTGGATGGCAGACCTCATACAGGTAGGTCGTGTAGCAAACCTTTTATATAATACCAACTGTTATTGTATGTGGAAAGGTCTTCGTTATTGCATGTGGATGGCAGACCTCATACAGGTAGGTCGTGTAGCAAACCTTTTATATAATACCAACTGTTATTGTATATGGAAAGGTCTTCATTATTGCATGTGGATGGCAGATAAGCCCCTTATACAGGTTGGTCGTGTAGCAAACCTTTTATATAATACCAACTGTTATTGTATATGGAAAGGTCTTCATTATTGCATGTGGATGGCAGATAAGCCCCTCATACAGGTAGGTCGTGTAGCAAACCTTTTATATAATACCAACTGTTATTGTATATGGAAAGGTCTTCATTATTGCATGTGGATGGCAGATAAGCCCCTCATACAGGTAGGTCGTGTAGCAAACCTTTTATATAATACCAACTGTTATTGTATGTGGAAAGGTCTTCATTATTGCATGTGGATGGCAGATAAGCCCCTCATACAGGTTGGTCGTGTAGCAAACCTTTTATATAATACCAACTGTTATTGTATATGGAAAGGTCTTCATTATTGCATGTGGATGGCAGATAAGCCCCTCATACAGGTAGGTCGTGTAGCAAACCTTTTATATAATACCAACTGTTATTGTATATGGAAAGGTCTTCATTATTGCATGTGGATGGCAGATAAGCCCCTCATACAGGTAGGTCGTGTAGCATACCTTTTATATAATACCAACTGTTATTGTATGTGGAAAGGTCTTCATTATTGCATGTGGATGGCAGATAAGCCCCTCATACAGGTAGGTCGTGTAGCAAACCTTTTATATAATACCAACTGTTATTGTATGTGGAAAGGTCTTCATTATTGCATGTGGATGGCAGATAAGCCCCTCATACAGGTAGGTCGTGTAGCAAACCTTTTATATAATACCAAATGTTATTGTATGTGGAAAGGTCTTCATTATTGCATGTGGATGGCAGATAAGCCCCTCATACAGGTAGGTCGTGTAGCATACCTTTTATATAATTCCAACTGTTATTGTATGTGGAAAGGTCTTCATTATTGCATGTGGATGGCCTCTAAGCCTCTCATACAGGTAGGTCATGTAGCATATTTGGGATTCAATGACAAGTTGTAAAACTAGGATCAGTTTTAAAATCCTAGATAAATGAATATTTGCGCATAAAATCTTTGATACATTTAATTTTGATAAGACAGTGGATTTAGATCTTTAAAATTTGTTGTTTGACATATTCCTTGGGGTGTTATAATGCCTTGAAGTATGGAGATTGGGATGACGATTATGAGACTCGCCAAAAATTACAACATTCTCTCCAGTCTACAAAAGTATCAAGCACCATGGCCTTTACTTGGTCCATCAATCCAAGATTCCATCCTCCTTTCTGTTAACAATGATGCAATAAATGATTTAATTTCAATAACCTGTGTATCATATTACAAATGATCAACAAATTAAAAACATTGCAATTCCAAATTTCATAACACATGGCTTCACTGCATTTTGATTGGTAAGAAAGTGATATTGCATTGCTTAACCTATGTGTGAATTGTATTTCTAGGAGTACTTGGCAGACTCTCTTGCCAGTTTGATGCATGCATTCAAAACACATGATGGTACTATCCAATACATTGATGTCTTTATATAGAAAGTTATATTGCATTGCTAGCTATATTTGAATGTATTTTTAGGAGGACTTGGCAGACTCTCTTGCCAGTTTGATGCATGCATTCAAAACACATGATGGTACTATCCAATACATTGATGTCTTCATATAGAAAGTTATATTGCATTGCTAGCTATATTTGAATGTATTTTAGGAGGACTTGGCAGACTCTCTTGCCAGTTTGATGCATGCGTTCAAAACACATGATGGTGCTATCCAATATATAGACATCTTCATACAGACAATATGCCGTGAATGGTTTGGGATTGATCGACTACGCTTGGATAAGTTCATGATGGTAAGTGTGTGACATTACTTTCGAAGGGATATTTAATTTAAGAATCCAGCCGTTGAGACCTTTCTGAAAAATCTTGCCATCAGATTAATAAGATATATTGCAGGGCTTGCATTAACGGCGTCCCTTACATGTAAGTGAGGCAAAAAAAAATTGTAGGACGGAAAAATAAAAAATATTTCCGTTTTTGGGACGGAAAAAAAATTGAGTCAAAACTTTGAATATTTTTTGAAAATCTTGAAATCTCAATAGTTGATCATGTTTGACTTCTTTGAGGTGTATCTTAAGATCAAAATATGTGAGATTTACAACTTTATGTTGAGTAAAAAAGAAAAAGAATCCAGAAAAACGAACTATTGTAATGGGCGATAATAGGTTATCAGTTTGCATGTGACATATTTTTCTCACTGAAAAGCTGATATAAAACCTTCAAAATGAGTTCAATTGTACAAATGATGCATACTTACCTAGGTGAAGTAGTCTATTTGTGATTATATAACGTCAAAATGGTCTAATTTATGATATAAATCAGAGGATTCTGATCATGTAGAAAATGTAGTGATACACTAAATTACTGAGCGTCAGACAAATTCATACTAAAAAATGTTCTTATTTTTTCAAGCAGTTGTTCAGTGCAAACAGCAAGTATAAAGATAATCACAGTATAATAGTACTTACTATAACAGGCTGGAGGTTACATAACATAAGTGAATTGAATATAAAGAACATGTTTAAATCACAGGGCACGAATGGCAACATTTTGAAAACACATAAGACATGTAAGATCAAGTCATGCACATTCCAAAATAGCCCATTATAGCTAATTTAGCTAATTTAGCTTATATATTGGAGGACACACTTTTTTCGGTCGGGACTCACTTTTTAAATTTTTTTCCTTCATTGGGACTCACATTTTTTAGAGCCTAATGCAAGCGCTGTATTGGCTAGCTGGTTAGATTGATGATGTAGGAAGTTTTCTTTAAACTATTAAGTTTATCAAAATTATCAGTCAGAATCATCAATCTAGTATAAAGCATGAATATTATCAAGGAGGAGTTTTAAAAGCATTATGGCTTTTTGACATGAAATATTGTCCAAATAGATTAGAAAGCCTTAAAAGTACTTAAACTCAGAGAAAACAAAAAGTGTTTGTTTCAAAGAGTCATTCCTCATTGATCCATGCACACCCAGTAAATAGATATTCTCTTTAAAAAAACATTGTTATAAAAGTTGGCAAAATTGAATAAAAGATGAATAAAATAACAGTACCAAGTTCTTAAATATTAACTGTAATTATTTCAGCTAATGAGGAGAACATTTAGGCAAAGTCTACAATTGTTAAAAGCTGGCAAGTGGAAGAAACCACAAATAGAGAGCCTGTTAGAGGTGTTTAAGAAGATGGTGATAAATGGAGGACATAATGCGGCCCCTGATGGTGTACGCTTCCATTTTGCTGATATGTATCTGGATGAGTTAACCACTGCAGGAGCTGAGGAGGTATTAGTTATATTCCATATTAGGCAATATTGAGAAGTGATACATCCTTATTAGGCAATATTGAGTGACACCACCTTTTATGTTTTTTATGTGCAAAATCTGAAATTAAAACTGCTTTCACTGGTCAGTAACGCTGTACTGGTAAATATATTGATGGTTGTTACAATATCTTTGAAAATCTTAGATTATTTTGAAGTTTCTCATTTCTCTTCAATGTGATAACATAATAGAAAAGACAACATTATAAGTGTGATTTTTTATCTGTTTTCTCTGTTTTTATAGTTATCATCTGAAGAAACTCTAATGTTTCTCAAGCCTTATATGGAAGTGATTGCAATAACACCAAACAAAGCTCTGAGGGACCACGTTGTCAACAATGTTTTTAATGAAATCATATTAGAAGCTGTACAGAAGGTGGAGGATGAAGCCATACAAGACGAAGACGAAGAAGATGAGGAGACTGATGCAAAGTTGCAGGTACACAGAGTCATTAGTACTATAATCTCAAACGAATAGGAACAAATTCGCATTTTTGGAATAATATTAATACAAATATTGGGTGTCCCTAAAAAGTGAACTAGTATTTACTCATTGGAGGTGCCTTATCAGAGGTCTCAAAATATACATATTTCATATGAAGCATTTCTAAATTGATTTACTGATTGCCTTTTGTAGTTATCATTTATTTATAGCCTTACAAGGGTGATTTTCTGTGCATTGCATCACATATTTTGAACATGTGTTTCAGTATAACTACATCGCCATTGCAACTAGATGTCTGATCTTGTGTTTCAGTATAACTACACCGCCATAGCAACTAGTTGTTTAATCTTGTGTTTCAGTATAACTACACCGCCATAGCAACCAGTTTGTTTGAGCTTGCTGCAGATAGTAAGAAGTCGTTGCCGAGGAACAGACCTATTTTATACCAACTCAGAGACAAGTGAGTACAGTTCAAGTGTTTTATAATTTGGTGCCATTTTGGCATCGAAAAATTTTTGGCGTCGTTCCAGCAACGTTTCAGCACTGTTCTGGCACTGAAACCTTTCAACACCAAAACGGCGTCGAAAATCAGATTGCATTTTGGGCTTGTAGTAGATCAACTTGAGATTTTACAGATGTAAGAGCAGACTAGTGCCAAGATCTGATTATGTTCCAGGCATGCTTGGTAAATTACTTGGTGGCCATATTGAATTCAGCAAAGTGTGATTGATATTTGTCTTATTAGTTTCATTTATTATTTAAAAATATTAAAATATTGTACTTTGAAAAAAACATTTACTGGGACACCAAAACAAAAAGTTGTCCCATTGTTAGAAGATTCATGCAATACATTACTATAGCAACCATGAAACTACATATACTATATGACATATTGTGAATCAAGAACTCATTTCAAAGTGCCTGTAAAGGCCTTATCCATAGGTATATCTATATATAATAACCTAAGTGATATGTTAAAAGTAAATATAATTTTAATAGAAACACATATTTTAAGGTTCACTCAGCTGTCCCAAGGTACTTTGCCTGTGGAGGATCTATCCAGTGGTTCTGACGATTCCCTTACTGAGGAGCACGTCATCAAGGCAACCAAGAGACTGCAGAAGTTCTATACAAACACACAAGAGAAGGAGAGTAGGGCGGAAAAGAGAAAAAGGCGGAAGCAGCAGAGACTTGAAATGATGTCAGATATGGGTATGTATTAGCCAAGGTTCTTTCTAGCTGATATCTTGAATTGCTTTTAATGTCTGATATGGTTTTTGCAAACATAGATTGTTACTCTTGATGTGGGTTAGTGAACATAGATGACCTGGCAATATGAACGATTTTACCATGAATCATATGTTACACTAAAGCAATTAACTCCTATTGGTGGCTTTCGGAAAGATTAATGACCTCTTAAAAGAGCTAATATTTGAATTTAGGGCAACTACAATACTTTCTGCCCAATAGTTGAAAATGCAACATTACAGCGATTACCTGGATATAGAATGAAATATTTATTATTGAAACTAGATTTACCCGAACCTTATGTTTACAGATTGTGTACAGATTTACAGATTGTTCAATTTTAGTGAATTATGAATTACAAATCCTTCACTTTTAATTTTGTGTTTTACAAATTCTTCAATTTAAAAATCATAATTTAGAAATTCTTCAATTTTTTCTCTAGAAGAACCAGCAGCAAAGAAGAGCAAAACAGATGAGAGAACGGACACTTCACCTCCTAAAGACATTGTTAAAACTAAAAAGAAGAATAAGTTTAAAGATAAAACAAATGTGAAAAATAAAGCGAAAGACACTGGGGATAGTACTGGAGAGGATTTAGATGAACTTACTACTCAAGAAAGTATAGAAAACCCTCCTCCCCTAAGTAATAAGAAAAAGCTGAAAAAGAAGCGAAAATTAGAAATTGACGAATCTAGTGCAATTTCAAATGTGAACAATGATAATGAAATTCAACAAAATGATACTCCAGTTGAAGAAGTTGAAGCACCAAAAAGTAGCAAGAAAGAGAAGAAATTAAAAAATAAAGAAAATATTGAAAATGTAGCAACAAAAGAACCTACTTTAGAATCAACTCCGTCTTTACCCAAAAAAATGAAACTTAAAGATCAACCTAAAACTCCTGATGTCATCAAATCTAGTTCGAAGAAAAAAGCAAAGAAACTGAAAACTGACGTAGAATCCTCAAGCACCTCTGATAAACTTGAAACTCCGAAGACTAAGACGTTGAAACATGACAGTAAAAAACTCGTAAAATCAAGCAGTAAAAAAGCATTAAAGAAAAACAAAGCTGAAGCCACTACTAATGATTCGCCTAAAGTTAAACTCTTTGAAACATCTGAAAAGACTAAAGATATGGACACTGGATCTAACACAAAGAAAAATGAAGGAGGGAATCTTGAAGAAGAGGTGGAAATTTGGATACCGAACAAGAAGTATAAAGCAAAGACTGAAGAGCCAACTCTGAATATAAAGGTATGTCCTGGAAATGTAAGCTCTTTATTGTGTCACTGCACCTCACAGAATGAGTGAAATATTTTGCCATAGTCTTCAACTTTTGATTATTTTGTTACAAGTGCTCCGGTTTTGTGCCATGCTTGTAACCATGACAATGGGTTATTTGACTTAAAACACTTGTAACGAGTGTAGAATTTCATGGTCAATTTGACTTGAAATTCATAATAATCACCTATAGGTATGTTGTACAATGTAGTTACAAGTACTAGTTGTATTTATCTGGAAGAGTTTAGATAATGTTGGTTACCATAGCAACAAATAATATTGTGTAACCATATGTTGATATTTGTTTTAAATACATTGTATTGTTCTTTTGTTCCCTGTTACTTATGGTTGTTATGGTTGTTTCCATTTGTGATTTTTCTACATTTTTCTAAAATAATTTTTACGCATTCTTTTGAATTGAAGACCTGGATTCTATTTTCACTTTAAATTATCTTATTTTTATTTATTGTTTAGAAGAAGAAACAGAGTCCTAAGACTGAGAATAAACAACAGTTTGCGACATTTACAAAAGTTCAGAAAACGCCACCTGCATTTGTGAAAAAGTCGATGGATAAGCTCAAAACTCCAAAAACAGAGCCCAAGAAACACAAACTGAAGGTAAGTTCTGATTGTCTTGAATTTCTTAAAACAGTTGTTCAGACTTAGATCATATAGTTAAACTTGTAAGGTGGAACATTTTAGTAAGTGGAACACATTCATAAGTGGAACACTTCAAAGTTCATTTAACATTAACTCAATGTAAAACAAATCTCTAAGTGGAACACCTCACTAGTGGAACATTATTTTGAAGCACCAAAGGTATTCCACTTGCACCAAAGGTATTCACTTGCACCAAAGGTATTCCACTTGCACCAAAGGTATTCACTTGCACCAAAGGTATTCCACTTGCACCAAAGGTATTCCACTTGCACCAAAGGTATTCCACTTGCACCAAAGGTATTCCACTTGCACCAAAGGTATTCCACTTGAACAGGTTCTACTGAATGCTAATTTTGTCGATGGTATTGTTAATCAAATCTCCACTCTTGTGTGTCTTATGGAGTATTTAATTATCCCATCGAACCAAGTTTGGAGGGATACAAGGAACGCTTCCGTCCGTCCGTACGTCCGTCTGTCCGTCCGGGCAATAACTCAAATACCGTTGCCCCAATTTTGTTCATATTTTGTACACATATACCCTATGGGGGTAGAAGTTCTGCTTGAAAGCCGATTTTCAAAATGGCCACTCATTTAAAAATGGCAGCCATTTTTGTGCAGATTTTACAGTAATTTAGGTGCAATATGTAAAACTGTAATAGCAATATGTTTTAAATGTAAAAAAATTATATAGGACATTAATAAAGCCAGAAATGTAGATATTAAGGTGTCACAACGGTGAATCATTGAAAACTATTGAAAAAAATCTTTTTTTTCTAAAAATGGCACATTTAGAAAGTACTTTACATACATACCTCAAATGGCCACAATACATACACTTAAACCTACTATACACACCATTGAAGTTGGCATGGCTTCGTTTTTAAAGTTTTAAAAAACACTGGTATTTACTGTAGTGACACCTTAAAGAAGCACATTGCAGCCATCTTGAAAAATGGCGGCCTTTACTCATTATTTTACGATTTTTGCTGTAACTCTAAAAGAAGTGGAGCGATTTTGTTCATATTTGGTATGTGAATACTATAAGCATGGCACACTGTATAATGACACTTTTGGTAGAAGGTGGTCATTTTGATAAATGGCTGCCATTTTTGCTATATACTTTGTTTGTAAATGTGCCAAAATGGGAATTGCTACGCTTTGGCGTTACTGTTGTCTAGTTTAATTTTAATTAACATGTTTACACAAGAAACTGTGAACAAGTTTCGCTCTATCGTGAAACTTTGGTAATCATAGCTGTATTGTATTTCAGAATATCGGTGAGGTCCCAGGTTCTGCCCCTAATACTCGCTCGAGGAGAATTAGCTTTGGCAAACCTAAGGTGCAAGGTATGTCAATTGCCTGAATTCAATCTGCTTTGTTTGTCAATCATGCGATATCTCTTGTAGAATCAGGTTTCTTACACTTCTATTTCAGATATGTCTGTTTGATTGATCTGTTTTAATTCTTTTTATTATTAGTTTTTGAAATAAAGTTTTTCTAATTTTTTTGTCATATGTAATATTAAAAATTATGCTTAGGCTATCGATGCATTCTTTTGAGAAACTGTTTTTCAGTAAGGTATGAATTTAGTATTGAGACTGATTGATTTAAACTAGCTTTTAGTATTTTTTCAGAATTGTATATCATGTCAAGTTAAAAAGAAGATGCGTTCGTTTTGAAGTGCTGCAAAATATATTTCCTGTATTTATATTCATTTCACTTTCAGCCTATGCAGAGAGTCTCATAAAAAGCCCCAAACCTGCGTTTGACCCAGATGCCAAGCCAGAGAATGGGATTCTAAAGACCCCTCCAAATAAGATAATTTTTAGTAAAGTGAAGACACCCAAGTCTGGGAAACTTCACAAACACAGCAGCGCAGCAAAATCAGGACGCTCCAAGGCAGCAGATTTTTTCTAAAATGAAGATTGGATTACTCTAGGGGTTGATGTTGAATGGTGCCATCATGAAGTAAATGTTGACACTATAATGTGATTAGTGCCAATTTTGATGTGCATGAAAAGTGCCCCTTTAGAATATTAGTGCCACAGATCTGTTGTGAATTTCCTGAATGGACAAGATGGCTTGATTATTGAATAGCTGCTCATCAGAATGTTTGAATGGAAATCGAGTTTTACATAAATACGTTGAGTGAATGACAAACATTCTCACAATGATGTGAAAGAAGAAATAGCTTAATTAATATCAATATTGTCAGCACGGTTGGAACTAAATGCCTTATGGGCACTCACTTATCATGTTGAATGGAAATAGAGTTTCACACACAGCTTGAAGGACATTTTCTAATAGTGTGAAAGAAGGACTAACTTTATACATATTATAGGCTAAGGGAGTATGGTTGGAACTAAATGCCTTATGGGCACTCACTCATCATGTTGAATGGAAATAGAGTTTCACACACAGCTTGAAGGACATTCTCTAATAGTGTGAAAGAAGGACTAACTTTATACATATTATAGGCTAAGGGAGTATGGTTGGAACTAAATGCCTTTTGGGCACTCACTTATCATGTTGAATGGAAATAGAGTTTCACACACAGCTTGAAGGACATTCTCTAATAGTGTGAAAGAAGGACTAACTTTATACATATTATAGGGAGTAGGGTTGGAACTAAATGCCTTATGGGCACTCACTCATCATGTTGAATGGAAATAGAGTTTCACACACAGCTTGAAGGACATTCTCTAAGAGTGTGAAAGAAGGACTAACTTTATACATATTATAGGCTAAGGGAGTATGGTTGGAACTAAATGCCTTTTGGGCACTCACTCATCATGTTGAATGGAAATAGAGTTTCACACACAGCTTGAAGGACATTCTCTAATAGTGTGAAAGAAGGACTCATTTTATACATATTATAGGGAGTAGGGTTGGAACTAAATGCCTTATGGGCACTCACTCATCATGTTGAATGGAAATAGAGTTTCACACACAGCTTGAAGGACATTTTCTAATAGTGTGAAAGAAGGACTAACTTTATACATATTATAGGCTAAGGGAGTATGGTTGGAACTAAATGCCTTATGGGCACTCACTCATCATGTTGAATGGAAATAGAGTTTCACACACAGCTTGAAGGACATTCTCTAATAGTGTGAAAGAAGGACTAACTTTATACATATTATAGGGAGTAGGGTTGGAACTAAATGCCTTATGGGCACTCACTTATCATGTTGAATGGAAATAGAGTTTCACACACAGCTTGAAGGACATTTTCTAAAAGTGTGAAAGAAGGACTAACTTTATACATATTATAGGCTAAGGGAGTATGGTTGGAACTAAATGCCTTATGGGCACTCACTCATCATGTTGAATGGAAATAGAGTTTCACACACAGCTTGAAGGACATTTTCTAATAGTGTGAAAGAAGGACTAACTTTATACATATTATAGGCTAAGGGAGTATGGTTGGAACTAAATGCCTTATGGGCACTCACTCATCATGTTGAATGGAAATAGAGTTTCACACACAGCTTGAAGGACATTCTCTAATAGTGTGAAAGAAGGACTAACTTTATACATATTATAGGGAGTAGGGTTGGAACTAAATGCCTTATGGGCACTCACTCATCATGTTGAATGGAAATAGAGTTTCACACACAGCTTGAAGGACATTCTCTAATAGTGTGAAAGAAGGACTAACTTTATACATATTATAGGGAGTATGGTTGGAACTAAATGCCTTTTGGGCACTCATCATGTTGAATGGAAATAGAGTTTCACACACAGCTTGAAGGACATTCTCTAATAGTGTGAAAGAAGGACTAACTTTATACATATTATAGGGAGTAGGGTTGGAACTAAATGCCTTATGGGCACTCACTTATCATGTTGAATGGAAATAGAGTTTCACACACAGCTTGAAGGACATTTTCTAAAAGTGTGAAAGAAGGACTAACTTTATACATATTATAGGCTAAGGGAGTATGGTTGGAACTAAATGCCTTTTGGGCACTCACTTATCATGTTGAATGGAAATAGAGTTTCACACACAGCTTGAAGGACATTCTCTAATAGTGTGAAAGAAGGACTAACTTTATACATATTATAGGGAGTAGGGTTGGAACTAAATGCCTTATGGGCACTCACTCATCATGTTGAATGGAAATAGAGTTTCACACACAGCTTGAAGGACATTCTCTAATAGTGTGAAAGAAGGACTAACTTTATACATATTATAGGGAGTAGGGTTGGAACTAAATGCCTTATGGGCACTCACTCATCATGTTGAATGGAAATAGAGTTTCACACACAGCTTGAAGGACATTCTCTAAGAGTGTGAAAGAAGGACTAACTTTATACATATTATAGGCTAAGGGAGTATGGTTGGAACTGAATGACAATTGTAATGTTACACACAAGGAGTGTTGAAAGCCATTATTAAATCTCGATCTTCCATTGCCACGCATGAAATAATTTGTTAATAATATATAAAGTTCATTTTTTGTACCAAACATTTCATTAAAATGTTATAGCATTAAAATTAGGCTGTTTGAGTAATATTTGAACCCTCGTGGCAGGGCTAATCTTCAAAATATGGTAATATTGTTACCAAATTATGTAAGATCGAGTTTTGATAAAGACTTCCAATTCTTGTCCTTGTTTGACTTGATTTGTAGCCTAGTGGTTTTTTATATGGCATATACATTTTTGAAAGACACAAATTGACAGTTGAACTTGGGAAAATAGTATAATATAAAGCAACTTCATGCTACACTTAGTTAAATATGATTCAATTTAATGATTCAATTTGATATGATTCAATTTTATGATTCGATTTGATATGATTCAATTTCATATGATGCGATTTAATATGATTCAATTTAATATGATTCAATTTAATGATTCAATTTAATATGATTCGATTTAATATGATTCAATGATATCAGGGGCAAAGGCAGGATCCCAAAGTGTCTAAAGCAAATAACATTTCACACTTTTGATTGAAAAAGAACATTTGAATTGATATTTTTCTATAAAATTTGGCCTGCCTAATGCCTGGCTACATGCCTATGAATACTAGTATAATGAAATTGTATAAAAAATTACAAAACAGCCTAAAGAACATGTCATTTTTTTATTAGTAAATAGAGATGTTTTCTCTATGTCCATATAAATGCCAGAAAAGTATGAAATTTGTTACAAATTAAGAATGAAAAGACATAAAACTATGTTGAATAATTTCTTATGATATCACCGTCACATTCCCCACTTTCTGATTGGTCTATGTTCTACATGTGACTAGGAAAAATAAAGCCAAATTTATTGGCTTGAGTTTGTCCGTTGTAAACTAAGCTTGTATTCCCGAATACAACTAACGTCTGTCGGCTACTGGATTGAACTACTATTTTATTATCCCATAGAACGAAGTTCGGAGGGATATAGGGAACGCCTCCGTCCGTCCGTCCGTCCGCACGTATGTACGTACGTCCGTCCGTACGTACGTACGTCCGTCCGTCCGTCCGTACGTACGTCCGTCCGTACGTACGTCCGTCCGTCCGTCTGTCCGTCCGTCCGGGCAATAACTCAAATACCGTTGGCCGATTTTGTTCATATTTTGTACACATATACCCTATGGGGGTAGAAGTTCTGCTCAAAAGCCAATTTTCAAAATGGCCGCTCATTTCAAAATGGCGGCCATTTTAGTGCCGATTTTACAGTAATTTAGGTACAATATGTAAAACTGTAATAGCAATATGTTTTAAGTGTAAAAAAATTATAAAGGACATTAATAAAGCTGCAAATGTAGATATTAAAAAGCACATGGCAGCCATCTTGAAAAATGGCGGCCTTTACTCGTTATTTTACGATTTTTGCTGTAACTCGAAAAGAAGTGGAGCGATTTTGTTCATATTTGGTATGTGAATATTATAAACATGGTACACTTTCCTATGACACTTTTGGTAGAAGGCGGCCATTTTGAAAAAAAATTTGAAAAATGGCCGCCATTTTAACATATTTTACTATAACTCGAAAAGTAGTGGAGCGATTTTGTTCATATTTGGTATGTGAATACTATAAGCATGGCACACTGTCCTATGACACTTTTGGTAGAAGGCGGCCATTTTGAAAAATAGCCGCCATTTTAACATATTTTACTATAACTCGAAAAGTAGGGAAGCAATTTTGTTCATATTTGGTATGTGAATACTATAAGCATGGCACACTGTCCTATGACACTTTTGGTAGAAGGCAGCCATTTTGAAAAATGGCCGCCATTTTAACGTATTTTACAATAACTCGAAAAGTAGTGAAGCAATTTTGTTCATATTTGGTATGTGAATACTATAAGCATGTCACATTGTCTAATGACACTTTTGGTAGAAGGTGGCCATTTTGAAAAATGGCTGCCATTTTAACGTATTTTACTATAACTCGAAAAGTAGTTCAGCGATTTTGTTCATATTTGGTATGTTTCATATTTTATATGTGAATACTATAAGCATGGCACATTGTCTAATGACACTTTGGGTAGTAGGCGGCCATTTTGAAAAATGACCACCGTTTTTACGTTTTTACTATAACTTGAAAAGTAGTGAAGCGATTTTGTTCATATTTGATATGTGAATACTCACGAGCCTTGCACACTGTCTCATGACACTTGGATAGTAGGCGGCCATTTAAAAAAATGGCTGTCATTTTTACATTTTTTACTTATTTCACAAGTACATGTGTGCGATTTTTCAAAAATTTTATAGGTGGCTACTAAAAGCATATTATTTCTTCTGATGACAACTTGGCTAACCATTTTGAAAATGGTGGCCTTTCTGGTGTGTTGTTTTATGATATTTGCTATATATTTCGTTTGTAAAAATGCCAGCCATTTCTGTTCGATGGGATTCGCTACGCTTTGGCGTTGCCGTTGTTCTGGTTGGAAACTCATTTAAGTATGAATGCCAATGGAATACTGGCGAGTACTATTCATATTCATACAGTCATATCGAAGACGCTTTATTGTGGCGATTCACGAACCAATTTGATCGAAATTGAAATTTCATATGCTACATGTTCACAAGAGCTTAATACATGCACAGAATTAGCGACAATAAAATCCAATGAAATAAGGACAAGTGATAAGAGTTGAAAGTGACGGTTATGTCAGCCATTTGTGACAGCGGTATCTGACTTTACCGTTGTCGGTCTATTCCGGTGTGTTACACGAAATTGATATAATTCATGGTTACATCCATTTAGGTAAAACTGTACAGGAAACAAAAGCATCAG